GCTACTTGCGAAGATGCGGAAGCCTCTGAAGAGTCTGTTGCAAAGTGGCTTGGGACTGCGAGACGGACCAAGCCAGTATTTGAACCTGCTCTGGACAAGCTATCCCTCGACGAAGAGTCTGATGTCCCTAGGCCGCCCTCTCCCCCGGATCTCCACTCTCTTCTCAAGACAGTCCTTTTGGCATCCCCTTCTATCCCATACTCTCCCCGCTGGACCCCACTGTTCAATCTCTCCACCTATTGGACCGAGCTCGACCAGGCTCGAAAGAGGCTTGGTAGGCGTTCTGGGATTATGCGCCCTGGACGGGATGGACTAGACGAGAGGTGCTCCTTGGGTGACTGTGTACTATATGGAGAGACGGTTACGAGTACACAAACCATGCTGGACGCCAACCCTCTCCTCCTCTCAAACCTTCCCGCGCCCCTTGCCTTCCTTGCCTCCTTCCAGTTGTCTGGACGTGGTCGCGGCGGTAACATGTGGCTCTCTCCCCCTGGGTGTCTGCAGTTCTCAATCCTTCTTGATCTCCCCCAGGAGCTCTCGTCAAAGATGGTATTCATCCAGTATATGATGGCGCTTGCAGTGGCCGAAGCGGTAGATGAAGATGGAAGGCTAGGTGTGAGGATCAAATGGCCGAATGATATCTATGCGGAAGTGGAAGGCGTGGGTGGAAGCGAGGTTGGGAGTGGCAAGAAGGGCAAGGCGAAGCTTGGTGGTATATTGGTCAACACCAGTTATGTTGGAGGCAGGTGGAGAGTGGTCGTTGGTGAGTGTCTTTCCCTCGACCTGATCTTGGCTGATATTTGATTAGGCTGTGGTATCAACGTCCTCAACGCGCTACCCACGACCTCCCTGTCTCAACTCCACTCTCTGCAAGCCGCCAAGCTTTCCTCATCCAACAAGCCTCTTCCTCCTGCGCCCACCATGGAAGGCACTTTCGCCCGTATCATGAGTTCCTTCGATGCCAAGTGGGAGCAATTCATCGAGGAGAAAGGGTTCAAGGGATTCATGGATGAGTATCATGGAAGATGGTTGCACGCGTAAGTCTACTTGGACTGGTTAGACGATAGCGACTGACATTTCTTTTGGTAGTGGGCAAGAGGTGACTCTGACAACGACTGAGCCTCATACCCGCGTGCGCATCTTGCAAATCACACCAGATCACGGACTTCTGCGCTGCATACCCTTGTCGAACCCTCGGCCCCAGGCGTCGCATGGGCTCACTCCTCTATACGACAGGAATGTCGACGAGGGGGAGAACGATCGGGGTGGGTGGTCGTCCAAGCAAACCAGTGGCGCGGGGAGCAATGGATCTAGTCCCTATGTCGATCTTCAGCCGGATGGGAATAGTTTTGATCTGATGAGTGGCCTGATCAGGAGAAAGGCTTAGAAACTTTGGAGACGTTTGAAACCATGTAAGGATTTTGGGATCACCGTTCTGAAGCGACTCTAGCTCGGTCATGACGTGTCAAGCATATGGTAGAAATCGTGCATGAGTGTTACAATAGAATCACAAAACGTCTCCTTTAACTTCTCGTCGACTTGGAACTCCCGCTCTTGTCCTTCCTCTTCAATTTGAAAAACCCATTGAAACCAATCCTGATACCCAAAAAGCGCACATCCAAATCCTGATGCGCCCCAGCCATGTGCACGACGCTGGTCACTTTATCGTGAAAGTCGTTTGCGCAGTCCCGAATGCGGATGCGGATAGATTGTAGCTGTTCTTCAGATTTGGATGGGTCGTCGTCGGCTGCAGAGGGGGTGTAGAGGCCACGAAGAGCGTCACGCTGGCGATCGAGACGAGTGGCTTCGGCAAGAGACCACGCGTAGAGGTCGTCCTGACATGAGACAGTTAGTGAAAGGCTAGAGGCGACAACTCAGGGGCACGTACGGTGGCATCTGTGAAATGGAGTATCAGGTCGAGAGCATCGCGGACCAAGTCGAGTAATATCTCCTGTAACAAGATCAGCGCCCCTCCTTGATTGATGTGATACATGACTTACCTCCTTCTCACGCTTGGATGACAGCAGCAGAACCTTCTTCACGACCCTACTTAGATATTTTTTATGCGCCGCAATCAAGGTATCCAGATCTCCTTCCCTCTTTTCCACATACTCCATCAATTCTGCCCAGGAACACTCTATCACCTCCAGCTGACAGAATGCTTGTATTTGTCGCAAAAAGTGAACCATTTCGGATTGGACCACTCGACAGTGGTGCCAGTCGTTATTCAACCCCGGCAGGTACTCATACGCCTTACTTCCACTTGTCGCCCTCATCCAGTTCTGCGTGAGAGCTACCTCCACCCTCTTTAACCTCCACAGATGATTGAAGAGCCTGTCGTAATCTCCCATTGCCCTACCGTCCAACACGGCATTGATTGGAGCTTCGACTTTATACTGGAGAGCGAAACAATCCCATCCAGTCTCTCCGTGCGAATACTCTAGCATACGGGCGTCGAGACGTCTGAGGATGTCGGGAGGAGAGAATTGCGCGTTAGAGCCGCGGATAGCAGATTCGAGGTCGGAGGTGAGATGATGGCGATAGAGACTGATGGCGGGCTTTGAAAGGCGGGGACTTGAGAGCGGTCAGTGTGTCCGTTGAACAAAGAAAAAACGGCAAGACGTACGCTAATGATTCCATTAGTAGCTCGGCAAAATCACCAGCACCCAACATGAGGAACGATTTGAGAGCGCGGAGATGGTCAAGTAGTCTGAATTTGTCAAAGAAGATTTCGAGAAGTCGCTGGGAGGCGATAGAATAGGCATCGTCGATAGAACGCTCCAGGCCAGCCAAATCACTGTAGCTCAGATCTGAAGACATGTCAGCAACGACTTGGGTCACTGCACCTGGAACGCACCTCTGCCAGCATTAGCCAGTTTTGCTTGGGTCTCTATCCAGTCGCTGTCATGACAGCTGTATCTGATGAAGTTTAGACTCCTGCCCGTGGAGAAGATCTGGAGAGTATCAGCTTGGTAATCTATGAATGTTGAGGTGACCCACTTTTTTTGCAAAGTCCTCCGTCACGAATCCCGGCACCATCTTCTTCACAAAGACATACTTCTTCTCCCAGACTGTATACGCCTCCTCGAGCCCGTCATCTCCTTCCATTCCTAGTTCCCACCCCCCGTCTCCCAGCACTCCTCCTGGTCCATCTTTCAGCCTAGGTACATCCGGATTCAGTTGCACAAAGAACTCTTTGAATGGATCATGCAGCTCGCCGGAGAATATCCACCGTTGGAGAGTAAGGAAGAAGGGCTTGGACACGGAAGAAAGAATCCCGTTTGTGAAAAGGCGGATGAGTGGGTCACCGTTGCTGGTGTGAGAATGGATACGGGACACAAGAGAACCACCATGATGGGCTGTACTGCAGGTCAGCTAGGCAGTGGAAGAGGATGATATTGCGCACCTTTGGCCTCCTCGACGATTTCGCCCATTTGTCTCAGCTTGAGGCGCATCTCTTCCGTCCACAGTCCCAAGCGCATGAGAGTCAGGCCTCCGCTCTCCGCTGTTTTGTCTGGATCCGCCGAAGAAGCCGTGTTCATCTGCGACTCTAGCACTGCCAACAGACGATGGTATTCTGACAGATCGTGATGGAGGAAATGACACAAGCTCTGCATGGATGTCAGTATTGGCATGGATGTCGAGCAGGACCGCATACCTGTTCAATCATGCCCCCTCTGTTATCTAGCGACTGGCGAGATTCAATGAACCCGGTAACTCGCCGGTAAATCATACCCATCTCGGATATTTGCATCAAAAGCGTTCTGGTGGGTTGAGAAATATGACCATCCTGATACTCATCAGCTGTTTTGCCACTGATAGCCCGTTGCACTGACCAAGACTTCGTCCGCTACGATTTCGATACCAACAACCTCTTCACCACCCTCCGCACTTTCGACCACAGGGCCGTCTTTACCCAGCGGAAACCCGGTGCCTTTGTTCTCTTTACCCTTTTCTGTGAGATATGGATTTTGCTCCTTGGGAGGGGCCAAGGCAAAGCGGACGTATCGACCGTCAATCCCCTGAAGGAGATATAGAGCGTCTCTGAGAAGGAGTTGCGGTGGAAAGGTCGGGCGAGCTAATCACTGTAAATACGAGTTCATGAACCATGTGTGCTGCTCACATTTGAGGGCTCTCCATTGCTTCAAGACTTCGGCTTTGCTGATACCCTTTCCACTGAATTCTGCTTGGGCGTTGAGTGCACCAGCGCCGGCCATCGGCTGCTGAGAAGAGCTAGCCTTCGTTGACGGGAATGCCGGGGGAGGCATAGACTTGGAGGGTTGAGGAGGGTTGGCAGTACCTCTGGATATGTTGTTGGGATTCATTTCGGACAAAGCGGACAGGAATTGCAGATGGGGATTCGGTGACGAAAGCAAGCGCTGTAGGTATGTCAGTGTCAACACCAGCAGGTATATGTGTATGCGTACTCCTCGCTCTAATTTGTTCCATATGGAGGTAAATCTCAGAGCTTTGTTGGATCCGCTCTCGCTTCCAGTCGGTTTGGAGGAGTACACCATTCGCTTGACGGAATCTGGTAATGTGCCTTCTGACAACGGGATGGACGATGGGAGGTTGCTGCAAGGTAGAACATCAGTATAGAGAAATTTCTTGAGAGGAGACTCTTACCTATCCAAGATATCCTGGCACCATCCTGTAAGCTCCTTGACTCTGTCTCTCCTCTCCTTCTCCACGGGATCTTCCGGGCGAGCGCCTCTGACCGGGGCAAGGGACGGGACCAAAGACAGGACGAGTTGTTCCATCGGGGGGCGGGATGACGGGGTCGACGATGATGGTCTATTGGACCCTGCGGAGGCTGTGCGTGCTGCCATGGCTGCCGATGAGAATGATATACTTGCGTGAGCCTTTGTTGTTGCCAGACCGCGAATCGACGCGTCGACGGAACCAAATTGTTTACTTTCAAGAGCTGCCCCAGCTTATGTAAGCACGATTGATTCCGCCCATGACGGTCGTTCTGAACGAAAGCAACAAGTCTGTGGCCACCCAGTTACTACAACCCCTAATTGTTATATCCGACTACAACAACAACAACTCACCATGTCAGGCTGGATGTCCTACTTCACCGGGAGGAAAGATACTCGCGAAGGCGCCCGCGATGCGATTGTGGGCCTGAGGCAGCAGCTTCTCATGCTGGAGAAGAAGGAGGAGTTCCTCGGCAAGAAGATAGAGGAGGAGATGAAGAAGGCGAAGGCGAATGCTACGTCCAATAAGAGGCGTGAGTCAAGATTCTGGGAGTTATAATTGGCGTCTGTCCGGAGGTTAGGTGCAAGGGAAAGCGAACGAAGCGGAAGGTGGATAAAGGAATCGAGACGAAGAGATTGATTGGGGTCAATCAGATGACTGGACTTTTTCGATGAATGAGCTGACGGGAATCGACTGGTAGTGGCAATGGCGGCGCTCAGGCAGAAGAAGGCGCACGAGAATGAGCTGGACAGAATCGCCGGTACTAGATTGACGCTCGAGACCCAAGTGAGGTGACCGCGTGCTTGCCAGATACAAGTCTGACCCCGAATTCCAGGTCAATGCCATAGAATCAGCAAACCTCAACGCCGAGACCATGGTTGCCATGAAGAAGGGTGCCGACGCTTTGAAGGGCATACACAGCAACCTGTATGCTGCACACCATCTCTTGTCATTGTGATATGCCGCTGATCGTTCCCAAACAGCACTGCGGAGGGTGTCGACGCTACGATGGACAAGATCAGAGAGCAGATGGACCTCACCAACGAGATTTCTGATGCGATTTCGAACCCTGTTGGGATGGGTATCGTCATGGACGAGGTACGCTCAGAAGCTTCTCTCTATATCATAATGTTAAGGCGGTCTGACGGGATGCTAGGACGACCTTAAAGACGAATTGGATGCTCTCGAGCAGGAGCAGCTGGACGACCGGCTTGCTGGAGCGGACCGCGTGCCCAGCCATCTTCCCGCTTCACCAGTCGGTCAAACAACGGGCCGTACGTCATGTTCTCTTGCAACTTGTGCATGGGCTGACTCACTATACCAGGGGCCGCCGTGCAAGAGGACGAGGACGACGAGGAAGCGCAGCTCCGCCAACTCCAGGCCGAGCTCGCCATGTAAACCTTCAGTCACACATCTACTTCTACTTTGTGCTTGCATGATCGTTCTCTAGATTCCGTCGCCCACGACCCATCCTTTACGAATGTGTTGTTTCCTCTCTTTCGTGACTTTTCAGTTCTCACTACAGGGCATGTATCAGTATACATATTTATACACACCACTCAGAGAGCGAGACCATTCTAGAGTCATCCAGGACATTTGCATGCTCGACCGGAACTCATTTATCGTTCGGATAAAGTACTTGTACAACAGAGTGCGACGTATGTCTTCTAACTAGTGCCCAGATTTTTACTGCTACTACCAACTCTTGACAGTGTTCCCAACGGGCTGATCCCCGCCCCTGTTTGTAGCCCCATCGACCTTCTTCAAAGGCGGCGGTGGTGGTGTCAAGGCAAACCCGCGCCTCGCCGTCGGTGTCGATCCTCTCCCAATACCTATGCCCATCTCCAAGCTCCTTCTCCCAAAGTTCAAACTTTTCCTCTCTTTATCGACTCTAGCCAACGTCACACACCCCATTCGATTTCCAAACCCGCCCATCATCCCCTTCTGCCCCAGATTGACCATTGGAGTCAGCTCCACGTAGCCTAATTGAGAGTAGGTGGGGACCGAGTATGAGTCGGAGCGAGATGGGAAAGAAGCGCGACCGGAGAGAGACAGAAGACGCTCCGTTCTCTTGTCCTGCATGGAGACCATACCCGGTGTCGCCAGGCTCTCTCTCTGCCCATTCGCCAGGGAGTGGTAGCTATCCAGTTGCGTCCGCTTGACAAGTTCTGTGAGATCAACGGATTCTACAACTAGCCCATTGCTATCCCAAGGCTGTGTCAAGTCGACGGCCCAGACTTGCCATTGATCATCGTTGATCCCTTCTCTGGCACGCCCGATTCCAACGAGAACATCGTCATCGACAACCGACCACCCACCGGAGGGTGAGCCGGAAGAAGAAACACCACCGAGGGAGGTGATTTCCATCTCTCGGCCTGGGGAGGCGGCTTCGATGGTGGCAGAGGTAAGAGCAGTGAGGTTGAGATTCAGGCTTCCTGGGGTTGAGACGCTGTAGGGCGAAGTAGTCGTCATTCGAGACGGGTCGTCCTCCTTGTGCAGATTGCTCAGGCGTCTTGCAGACCCATGTGAAGAAAGCGGAAACTCTCCGTTCGATACAGGAGTAAGCAGAGTGGACTGCTTCGCGGGGGATGAGCCCGGCGTGAGTCTTTGCCTAGATCCAGAGGGAGGGACAACGAGGGTACTGGTCTTTCTCAAATCCCCTCGCCCGAATGGAGTATCTTCAGTTGGTGTGTACTTTCTGGGGCACCGACAAAAAGTGGGAATAGGGTTCTTGGGCGCCACTCTGTCGAGAGACACCTGTGTTGCTGTTGACGAGATGACAACATAGCCCTCTGTGGACTGTAGACCACATCCCACACACTTCATACTCGCTGGTCGCACAAGCTCGACCTTTCTCACGCCTTTCATACTTGCGCCTTGTGGGACTAGGTCAAATTGGCCATGAGACTCGTCGTAGATGGAGACTAGTCCGGATCGGTAGCCCACAGCAAATACACCTGGAAGGGAGGCGTTTATATGGGAGAGCGATGTGATACGGTCGTTTGCTAGAGGCCCAGGAGAGACAAGGGCCGAGGTCCAGCTCGATGAGGTTTTGCGCCAGAGAGTGGTGCCGAGTTGGCCAGCAATGATGATGTTCACACCTCGGTTTTGCGCAGGCACAAGTTGTACACGACAATGCTGCGAGCCATCGCTTTGAGCATCAACAGCATTGTGAACGCTCTGCTCGTCGACTTCCAGCACCGAACCGTCGGCGCATGCAACTAGCACTGAGAAGGTTCGCGGAGAGCTGCTGTTCGCCTGAGTAGCAGTGAACGGATCATCGGTAGTGGTATCGCTCTCATCGAAAGCGATATCGAGTACCCGCGCCGTCAAGCCTTGAGGTAAAGCAAAAGGTTGTCTCGGGACCACAGCACCTTCCCGAGGGATTTCCCATATCTGCAATACCCCCGATGCAGTACAAACACCAACATGATGCCCATCTTCGCTGACAGTAGTGGCCACGATAACATCCTCCTCCTTCACCCCTTCCGCGTGAAGCAGCTCCCGCATCCCGCTCCCACCTTGAGGGTCCTCGAACCGCCACAGACAGATAGAATTGTCAATGGCGACTGATATGACTAGGCTGCCGGACGAGTTGGAGGAGATGAGGTCGACGTCGGCCTCATGGCTGCATGGAAGCATGTACGCTTTCAGCTGGCCGGCCAGACCGATGGATCCTTTGGGAGAGCTCGGGGTTTCCGTCTCGTCTCCTTGGTCAAGGTCCATTCTCCCAAGCCTGTCTCGTTGTGCATCGAGCAGCTCCGAGTCTTTCAGCAGATAAAGCAAGAGCGCGTAGAGAGCCCCAGCAGTGATAGCCTGAGGCAGGATGAGGACCTTGAAGACGTGGAAGATGGCTTTAAGCCTTGGGATAAGGAGTTTCCGGGCTGGAAGAGAGAGTTTCCGTAGATCAACTGGGTGCAGAGAGTGTCCATCTTTCGGCAAAATCACAATGGAAGCTGGAGGGACGACTACGTGCACAAACGGCCACCCGTCAGGGTTGATGGATCTCCACAGCTTCTCAGCTGAGGAGAGAGTCGTGGCGTCATTGTCAAGATCTTGGAAAGGCGTAGGAGTTGGCGCGGGAAAGTAGGAAGTGGATGTTGCCTTTACAGTGGGGGTGTATCCGTACAAACTGGCCGTAGTGTTGAATGGTACGCGGTGCTGTTCTGTGAGCCAGTAAAGAAGACCAACAGTAAACAAGAGCTGTGTCTTTGTCAGTATGGGTCGTGTTTGTAGTATTTTGAACTCACCAATAGCAAACTCCCACTCTTCGTGGTTCTTGCTCGCAGAAGTTTTCTCCAGCTTAGCCCACCCTCGTTCTGTGCTTCCTTTTCCTTTTCTTCCTCCACCGACGAAGCCATCCCAACTTTATTGGCAACAAGAACATCCGCCAGCTCCAGCCTTTGCGCATCGATCGATAAGACCTGAATGTCTCGTGAGCTTCCTCATGACGGTCCCAAACGCAGGACTCACAGTCAGGAAGAATGTGTGCAGCATGAACCAATCAGTGATGATCACGACTGCCGCAAATAGGCAGAATTCCCGTACTGGCTGGAGGTTGACACATAGCCAGACGATGCCGAGGATGGCCAGATCAGTGAGCGAGGTGAGGGCGATGGTTGTGCCAACCTTGCTCAAACCGAGCCCAATCCGGACGGGAACTGAGTGGGCGAAGGGAATGGAAAAGATGGCTTTTGTCTATAACCTGTCAGCCAGATAGTCTCGGGACTCTCTGCGGACAGCTCACCAGTGTCGACATGTTTTCTGCCCCAACAACAACGATAACAAATGGCAAGATATACGCTGGCAAGCTGCTCTCTCCCCTTGATGCCCCCCAGCCGTTCCAGCCTAGAAGCGCCAAGACACTGAAGGACATGACGGACGAGCAGCACAGCTGAACGACACCAGTGAAGGCAAGACCGAATCGAGAGTGCACTTTCGAGGCATTGGAAAGTTGGACGATGAGCGTTGTAAAAAGCACAAAGTAGAGAATGATGATGATTGTCGGTGGGGAGGAAGGGATCATTGCTGGGGTTGAAGCTGATTGTGGGGATACCGGAGCGGGAGAAGAATACTGTAACGCATTGGCAAAGGTCAACAAAATCGGTTTGTACTCACATATATGTACCACTCCCCCGGTTGATGGCGGCTCCTGGCCTCCACAAACACCTCCCCCTCAATCTCCCGGGATATGCCCGCGACGGCTTCTTCCCATCGGCTCGCAAATGTGGTATTTGTTTCGGCAGGTACTCGGAAGAGAGCGGCGAAGCTGTGGTAGACATTGCTGGCTCCCGAAGTCTGCTCACTCTCCCCCAGATTGGCAAGATCCGTTATCGGCGATATCGTGACGTCGAATTCGGGGATGTATTTTGATGGAGAGATTATAGCGCAGAGTGACCGGCTTCCGTTGGACGATAGTCCTCGGAGACATTGCTGACCACTGGAAGGGTATTGCGATTCCCAACCCTCTGCCATGTCTCGGACAAGATTCAAGAGGTGATGATCCCTTCGCTCCCATTCCCTTTCTCCCATGTGCACATCCCTATCCAGAACATCCTCCACATCGGCCCAGCCGACCCGCATCACCCATACATCCTGCCCGCCTCCTGCATCGGTTATCCCCGGGATCTCCTGTGTCGACGCCCACCCCCCGTCATCCCATTCAGAAGTACCTTGCGGCCACCAACCGACCCAGTCTAGAGGAGGTAATAGAGGAGGAGGGGAAGGAAAGAGGCTGTCGAGTCCAAGAGGAGAGAAAGAGTGGCCGGGTGGTGGATGTGAGTTGGTTGATGAAAGGGGTTCTTTCTTCTCAAGATATAGAGCAAGGGACGGATAAAAGAGATTCGTCATGACTAGACAGTCAATCAAGAGTGTCCGTATCTACGCCATTGTCAGCATTCAGCCTCCTTCCCGATCTGTCACTTACTTGACCCCGGGCGCAGTGCTCGCCAAACTTTCGAAAGGCCTCTGTGACAAGACCTCTCCGCCATCTCAGCTTTCTGGGCCTTCCACCTTTTCTCTTCCGCTTTGAAGGCCTGCCCCTGTCCCCCGAGTCGCTTGGAGAGGGGCTTGAGTGGTAGGTGGGATTTTCGCGTCGATGCCGCGACCTTGCATTGCCGGAAGTGTGGTGGGCGGTGGACGAAGACGCGGCTGTGTTGGGGGTGAGTGAGCCGGCCACACGAGACATGGTTGCTGGTGGTCTATACGCTGGCCATGGCGGGTGTCTGTCCTGCCGAGAGTGCTGTTGAGGCCGTCGAAAGCGCTCTCGGCACCGTCGCCTCCCTACTTTCGTTGTCCGTTCGGCGATACGCGTCCCTTTTCTGCGCCCCCACTTTTGCTCGGTGTGCCGCTTTACTTTAACAGTTTGGTTCTGCATCCCTCAACAGCCACCCCACAGACTCGCTATGCTTGCCTTCCATTAATCACCCACCACCCAGTAGGACTAATTACCCACTAGGATCGTTTCACACACTGCAGTATCTAATTCAAGCGCCATGGGTCAGTAATCAGCCACTCCTATACTTCTTAGCATCTGCTTACCATATCACAGACTCCCCGCCTAGACCCCAAGCCGCTCGCGCGCGATCATCTACTATCGTTGGTACAGGCTCTCTTCCACCCGGAAGCACACAACGCGGCCCTCCGACAATTGACCTCTCCGCATCCTCCTTCCGTATAACCACCAATCCCCAGCCATCAGCTGCTGCCGAAGCACTCACAAATCTCAAAGGCAGTGCCAAGCGGCCTCGGATGAGAGACGCTAGCTCGGGGCATAACCGCGTCTCGTCATGGCCTAGCCCGCCGCAACCGGTCGTGACAGCTATGCCTTCCGCCCCAGCTGTACCTACCCGAGCTACTCTGGAAGGCGGAATCTTGGACCTGTCTTTGCTTGAGAAAGAGAGAGACAGCGCAACTCTGTTGCTATATACCTACCGACCACCGATATCCAATGCTGCCAACAACAATGCCGCCCACCCTTTTCCCTTACCCTCTACATCAGCCTCGCCGACTGCACCATCATCTCAGGTCACTATCAACTATGCCGCTCTTCCCTGGGATGTAAAGCCCGGGGACTATCTTGAAATCAGAAAGATTGCTCGTCCCAAGACCTCTCGTTCTGTGGCGCCAATGCGCATACAAGGGCTGGAAGGAGAAACGCAGCAAAAGGTCAAAGGGTCGCCTGCCATTGAGGGCGTCAAGCCTGGAAAGGGTAGGGAGGGGTATGTCTTCAGACTAGGGGACGATTCTCCCAATACAAATATCCACCAAATCCAGGTCCCAGACTCTGTCGCCTCCGCATTCGGCTTCCAAAACAGATTGGAGGTCGAAGTCCGCAGAGTGCACGACAAGGAATCTGCCCACACCGATTATGTCGAACTCTACTTTTCCCAATACCTTGGACGAGCCGATATGTGGCGTCTAGGTATGTCATTGGAGGGCACCACATTGCATGTAGGGGAGAAGGTATCTTTGGCGGGAGGCGCTGTGCGCGCAGAGGTCAACTTTATAATACGCAGTGAGAGAGATAAGGATGGGACGATGATCAAGCCGAAAAAGTATTCCAGTGGTATCGTCACCGCAAAGACAAAGACCATATTTCGGAGTAAGAGTGCCCAAGTGTATATATTTATACAGCTCTGTGAGGAAACCTGGCAATTCGATGAAGACGGAGAGCGATATGTTGAAAAGGTAGTACATGGTGAGTCGACAATATGCGTACTAGCAACATTCTCATAGGGGAGAGCTGACATGACCTAGGCTACCTCCCCGAATTGTTTGCCAGATGGGCAGAAAAGGGCACATCTCATGTCGCCACAATCATCTTCTTTGCCCGTATCTTTTACCGCGACGACGAGGTCGAGTACCTCCGCAAACATGACATGACGGACATGCTGTGCCAAGATCACTCTGGCCAATGGTACAAAGACTTTTTCAAGGTCGCCGTCGATCTCGAAAGGCGAAACGACTGGATGAGTTCTCTGCCCGAGATCAAGAGACAGCTGGAAAGGAGTGAGAGAGAAATCTTGTTGGATTACCACTTGGGGCTGTTGAGAGCCAAAGGGGTTGAAGAGGAGATCAGGATTGTCGGGAAATGGAGTTTTGCTTATCAAGGCAATGTCCTTGAAGCCATTAACCTCGCTCTCAACCCCTTCGACGAACATTACGTCGACAGAGATCTGTCCCGCACCGGTCTGTCTATCACTGTCGTCACACCCGGTACTGGTCACTTTGCCGTCGACAAGAATGTGCTCAGGTTAACAACCGAGCGTATGGTGGATCATGGTATCACCACTGATTTCGTCTGTCTCACCAAGATGCCGCTTCATAGCGTGCCCCTGTTCAGCTATATCACACACAAGCCAAAGGGCCCGGTTTATGAAGATGGCTCGGGTCAAAGAAGGCTTATAGCGCCTGATTTGCTATACTTCGATGGTCAAACAGCCATTGCAAAGGACACCGAGTTGTCTGACTGCTATTGTGAGTAACATATCCACCGTGTAACTCTGGTCTAATGACCCATTAGCTTTACCTTCTTGGGTCAGCTGCTCCTTCTACGCAGTGACTCACGACAAACCGTTCCGGGAAGACCGCTTCGTCCCACGGTGCAAGATGTATGATATCCAGATGCTCGGCATACTCGACCACAACCTCACAACCGTCACTGTCCCACTCCTCAATGTCGACGATACCCCCATGCCCCGACGGCCGCTCACCGCCGAGAATAGAAAGACGATCAGGGATGGCTTTGATCAATCCATTTTCAGTAATAATGTGGAGATGCTGCCAAAAATCGGACTCGGTACTTCGCCGATAGGTTCAGCGGCATCAGGGAGCGTTTCGGCGAGCTATCAGTCGGCGAGGCTTCTGGCGGAGAAGGAGAAGGAGAAGTCGCGTTCACTGTCCATGTCCAAAGACAGGACGAGCTCAATGTCAATGTCCAGACCAAAAGTGTTGGAGTTTCAGAACTCCAAATTGTCTCCCATCAAGGCCATGGTCGAAATGGAAGATATCGAGCTTGGGAAGAAGACGCCTGTCCGGGAACCGTCCCCTGCGCCGTCCTCGCTGAGTTTGCGCAGAGGTTCCAGGAGGTCACTTTCGCCCACCAAGCTGGCACAGATCACCCGAGCGCCTCAGGATCCCAAACATCCTACAGTGCCGTCACTGTTACCAGAGAGTCGAGTCGGCTTCCCGACCACAGCGACCGGGTCGTTATCTGCTTCTCCAGCCCCACCCCCCGCCGAGACAGGGAAAGACTCGTCTATGTCCACTGCTCCTACGGCGACTTCTCCTCCTCAAGTCGACACGGCAGAGCGTCAATCGTCCCCATCCCGTCATTCTATTCGCTCCGTCACGACCGATCAATCTGGCGCATCGACGCCCAAGCAAACGACGCCTGGCAAGAGCCTTAAAAACCAACCAAGCAAGGGCTTATTGCCAAGGTGGATATACAACAGCTTGAGCTTCAAGCCCTTAGTGTCTACGTCGACGCTGAGCTCAGCTGAGCCAGCGACAGAGACTGCAACGAGGTCGGACGTTGTTGGTGGCATGAACGGAAGATCAAGCTCTCCTTCACCTTCCATCGGTTCTTTGAGAGGGCGAGCTTCAAAGTTAACCAACCCTCAAGCCATCGTGACTCCAAGTACACCCTCTCCTTCGCGCATCGAGCGTTCAGAGTCTAGATCCATGAAACCTAGAGAGATCAGAGACAGGGGAAAGGAAAACGGCCAGGATCAAGGCACTCAGCCCCTGCCCATTGCAGCCTCTAAAGCTCGAGTCCAATCGCAGTCCGAAGAGGACGCCATTTCTCGCTCGCTTCGCACGAAATCACACGCTGCACTCTCCAGGTCCCACGAGGATTCCTCCTTACGCGCAGCTCAAAGCAACGCCCTCGTTCAATCATCAAGGCACTTCACCATCAACCCTTGCAAGCCTTCGGTGGAGACAATCGATCGAGTACGAGATGCTGGTGGCCGTCGCTGGCGATTTGTTCTTCCCAAGTTGACACAACAGCACATCGTGCAATGGCCCAGCCTCATTGCTCCCGCATGTCTACCTCTCACGACCGACTTCTTACCGGACCAAAAGCAGAGCGACGAGCTGTACACGACAGGAACGTATACCGTACAGTGTTATCTGGAGGATGATGCCTTTTTGATCCGGTCGGATGCCGCGGAAGCCAATCTGCCTTTGGCTATGATGCGCGAAATGGTTTCGCAGAGATTGTCTCGTAGGTTTCCTCGTCGTCTTTGTGCATGTCCCGCTCATACCGCTGTAGAAAACTTCCAGGTCATTGTACAACCCCATGAGCTCTCTGAGCCGGAAACTCCCCGCCCGATGCCAATTCATCTGGAGAAAGACGCCGATATCGGCGTTGAACTCTTATCCGGCGGAGCGTCAGAAGTGCTTAAGAATGGGCAAGGTGCAATTTGGCTTTCATGGGCAAACCACATCCACAGGCTTCTATTTCACCCGAATAGACCAGAGATCATCGTACACTGGATGACACGAAAGATCATGCACGAGACAAAGAGCGTGCCTTGGAAGGGGTTGGTGTGGCCCGCTGGGACGAACGGGTATCAGAAAGCCTCTGCGACTTTTGCATATCCGGTACGTTCCTCGATCCGGCTGTGAATTCGATGCTAATACACTAAACAGGACGTCTCCATGAAAATCAACTACAACCACCTCGACCATCTCATCAATGGGGAGCGTGCTGATTTCGGACCTCTTCGATACTGGCGAACGCGCTTCATTTTGATACCCTCGGACAGAGAGCCCGGTTCCTTCCCAGGTGTGATGCCCAAGAACGAGTTCCTTGGTTCCAATGACTTGCTGTGGCTCGGCTCACAGAAAGTCATGGAGACGCTTTCTAGGTATCTCTTGAAGTACCCTGAAGGACAGATCCCGCAAAGGTCGATGAAGATTGTGACAACCACATTCGATCCATCGACTTGCGTGTTGGATGAGGAGCTGATGATGGATCTCGCGCGACAGATTCATGAGGTGCCAAAGGGAAGCAGCAGAAGAAAGATAGAGGGGATGACATTGGCGCAAGTCGCGGAGGCAATGTGCATGCCAGGCAATGGTCTTGTCATCAGGACGAGATGGTGGGAAGGTGAGTCAATGTTTTCCGGTAGCTGTGCCGTGTACCGACCCTATCAAAGCGCGACAACATGTCTCTTCTTTCAACGGTTTCGAACTTCGAGAATGGTTGCAGAACAATTTCGAGGATGTTACTAGCCGAGAGAAGGCTCAAGAGTGGGCCATGGAGTTGACCAACAAGGGTTTGATTGGTTAGTCCATCTCTTCCCAATGCTCGATCTCACTGACCTTTTCTCAGAGCACGTCACCAAATCTCACGGCTTTTTGGACTACTGGCACGTGTACTACCGCCTTCGCGAGCCGTACGATCAAATGTACAAGCCGCCTACCAAGCAAGAGAAAGAAAGCAAAAATAAGTCTTGGTTCTCTTCCAGCTCCAAAGGATCTCGCCGTCAACCCCCTTCTGCTACCAGCACTCCTACGGCGGGTAAAGGCAATGTTGCTGCTTCAGCGATTGCTGAGCCTGCGGCCGCTATGGCAGATAGCAGCGCTTCAACCTCGACACAACCTAGTGCCACTGGAGATAGTAACAACACTGCCGGCGACTCTGAACACGACCAGTCCTCGCTCGCCAAGATCTACCTCCAGACCCACGAAGACGAAGGAAAGAAGGGTGGTAAAAAGAGAAAGATCGTCATGACTCAGACAAGGGTACTGGACCTGGACCCCAACAGGAAAAGTGACCGAGCAGAGGTTGCTATTCTGCATGCGGACGTTGTGCACAACGCCAAGAATGCGTGAGTCGTGTGTGGTCATAGTGTATCGTTGCTGATATCTGCGCAGGTTCCACTTTGAGTTGAACTGGCTGGGTGTCACCGCCGCCCTTCTGGACGAGCTTCGCCAGAAACTCTCTGCGCAAGCCGATCGTTACGGGCTCCGCTTCGTTGAAACACCTGTGGAGCAGATCGCCGATATCTCCAAAAAGTGTGCTTTCCGCACCGCTATCCCTATCAAGCTTGCGCTCGCCCCTCCTGTCATCCCCGACCTGCATACTCGCCTCGTGGCGGTAGCACACGGTACAGGCCAAGCAGAGAATTACTTCGAGTACTCTATTCTGACCCGCAAGTTTGGCTTTGTGCTTGACGTGGAGGCGGCAGATAGGTACCCCGACAACGTGGAAGTGGTCTATGCCTACAGAAAAGGCGGTGTCAAGAAGTACACCTACTCCCAGTTCTGTCACAAAACAGGCCTCGCGCTGGTGCAGTGTGTGGGCGGTGAGGAAGGATTCTTATGGAGCGACAATAGGCTGGTAGTGTCAGCGCCTACAAGGAGGGGTGTCGGAAACAGAGTGGAGGAGGCAAGGTCGTTGAGGAGAGAACTGGAACAGTTCTGTTCGGATAAGGAGCAGTTGGCGAAGTTTTACAAGGAAGTCACCCCACCTGTGCTCACGACAGGGGAGAACACTCCTGTACAGTCACCGGGTGAACAGTCTGCACCACGAGAGGAAAGACCTGCTCAAAAAGTTGCTGCCGAAGTGCAGTCGGTCACTGAAGAGAAGGCCGATTATTCTTAGATACATACTTTGCTCTTCATGTTGTTGTATATCTTCTAGAGTCTCCGTAAAGTATATGCACTGCATAGGTGATGGATGTACAACTTTTTTGCTCATTTCTCTAAGGATGAGGCCTGGGGGAACGCGAGACAGAAGGCGAGGGTGAACGACGCCTTGGCTTTCTATCACCTTCGGATTCGTCGCCCAAGTCGTATTTCTGCCGTCTTGGGGAGGCTGAGCGGCGAGGGGAAACAGATGAGGAGTAGCGTCGGCGTCGATGGGTACGGGAGCGGCTGGACACTGATGACGATGAATCGGAATCGGACTCTGTCGAAGATTCGGAGCTATTCAATCATTAGCTGAGCGCCGAGTACAACGAGCAGAATCTCACCTGCTTCCGCCTCTCTTGCGCCTACTGCTACTGCTCTTTCCTTTCTTCGACTTTGCCTTCTTCAGCTCCTCTTGCTTTTTCCTTTCCGCCTCCTTCGCCGCCAAGATCTTGTCTGCTAGCCCCTTGCCCTCATTCTTGAACTCTTCCGGCACTTCCACACTCGGCTTGTCCCGTCCAAATGAGCCGGATTCAAGCTGTTTAGAGCGGGATGGCCGAGGTACATAGGGTTGAGCGTTCTTGCATTGGTAGGTGAAGTGCCCGAGTTTTAGACATTTCTAGATTTCGGCGCAGATGAGCGGTGTGATACTTGGAGGGTTGAGATCCGGCAACGAACCTGGCAACGGGTGTTGGAGGATGCTTTTGTATTGTTCTGCAATGGACGAGGACCACGAAACATGCTGATGGGTTTGGAGGTGGGTATTGTATCGATTTCCACGGGCAACATCAGTTGAAAGTGAGTCGGGCCGGCATAGAGCGGCGATGTCCGCTGCGACTTGCAACCCACGTGTTTGCCACGTGCATGCTGTCGCTCATCTCACGTCATCTGCTGGCTTGCTGCTGCTGCTGCTGCTGTCATGTACAATCCCCATAGCTGGCTCCAGAACATATGTCCACATCTGGTCCGCCTTCTCACAGAAGCCAATTTTCTGGCCGACCCGATACCGAAGCTTTTATCATAGAGACTCCCTGCGCACCCTGTGTCCTGTGTCTTCCAGGGCAGTGGAAACACCAAACATCCCATCCACCCTCACCGCGCCTCGGACCTCGCGCATCGCGGTCTCACACTCTATCTCTCTATTCATCTGCTGTCACTGAAAGTCACCGGAGTCCGGGGTACCTGGAGATGCGACCTATGTAGCAGAAGTACGAGCGATTGAGTTCAACCTTGTCGGGCCGCCGGCGGGGAAAATAAGACAAAGGTGACAGAGCAAGATTGTCGTGCCCGTCGCGCCTGACTTCCATTATGACGCGGGGAGCCAGGCGTCTGTCTTTCCCAGGTCTCTCCTCTAACCTCTTGTCTCTAGCTTTACGTGCTTGGACTCGAAGAATCGTCAGCTCTTATTAGTACCTGTTTAATGGCAGTTATCATGATCGTTCATGATAGCCAAATCCAGAGTACAACAGCTCGGAAAACGACATCCTGCTTCCTGTGTTCTTCAAGCAGACGAGTATATACAAACGCAATGCACTCCACCATGGCCTGTCTCATAGCTCTGTGTTCCTCTCATACTTAGTATGCTCAGTGCCGGCGCATCCAGGCCCAAGAACCCTGCAATCGTGTGACTGGGAAGGAGGTCTGGGGCCTGGGGTCTGAAGTCGGCTGTTTAGTAGGCACGCGCATATCTGGGATTCTGGGATGATTCGGCTGTCTTCCTTGCCTACGCTGACTGCAAGCTGCAAGCTTGTTCCTCTGTTAACAGGCTTCACAAGTTTTCTAGGAAATGTCTTTGGTGATGGCGCCGTTTTGTAGAATCGGACGAGACAGCTCTTCTTCCAAACAAGTGGAGGTACCCTTCTGAACCTGTGATGACTCGCGTGATAACAATTGAATAATGGTCACAGAACTTGTTGACAGTCTTCCTTGATAATGCATGATGATCATGCAAGAGGTGGCACTGTCTTAGGACATCGGCGAATGGACATCTGTTAATTATGGTTGATGGCCGTGATGGCCGATGGTGAATTGATGCCTTCGTGAAGTGCATAGAATGAAGAGATGGAACCAACAACAGAAGCTTTGAAAGGAAACGATAAAAGAAGCTTGGAAAAGCGAGCAAAGTGTGGCTGGACATGGGACCTGTAAATTGTATGGCCCATGCCGGCAGAGGGCGGGCAACCGACGCCCGACGATTATGACGGTCAGATAGTCAATGCACCATGTTTTTCCTGGGACTGCCGACGTTCGTAAATGCATGTGCATAGGGAAGCCCAGTAGATGGATGAGCTACTTTTTTGGAAGCCGAAGGGGAGAGCAGATATGACTAGAGGCGACCATAGAACTGCGAATGCTCCCTTCTCTGCCACCAGCGGTCACAAAACGCCTCAAACAAGCCCAGCGCCAAAAAAAAAAACGCCCATTCTTTTGTTCTTGAGACGCAAGACGCGATGTACGGACGCGTTAGCGCGAATGATTTTTGTCATGTTGAAAGGACAATAGGGATATAAGAGAGGATACAGTCAGGAATTCAAGGGTTATTTGGCCGAAAAGTTTGGAAGCGATCAACATCAGGAATTAGGACCGTGGCGCTTGGCGTGGCAACCTTGACGCGTCGTAACGCGTTGTTGGTGTGCTGAAGGTGTGCAGCGTTGGATGATCACGAGCGTCCTCGAATGTCTCGGAAGGGCTGGGGGCGGGAGATGCGATGGATGGACAGTTGGCGGAAGGCGGGAGACGGTACAGACTATGATGCCATGCATGACATGAATAAATGGTCACCGTCCTCAAAACGTCAGCCGGTGACGCTAGGGTGCGTCCCTTCAGGGCAGGACAAAAGCAGTCGCGGGATCGCGCCTATCGAGACATGTCGCAGCCGTCCATTCAAATCTCTTCAACGATCTCCAACTCTCTCCACGCACACCACATCTCTTTCCTCTCCGTCTCTCCACCGCCTGACCTCCCGCCGCTGCTACACCACCACCGCCCGCCTTCCTACCCCACCCCGCTCCCCACTCTCGTTCCGAGCATCTTCCGAGCCCAGCTGCGTCTTTGGCAGTGGTTTACGCTCTCCCTCCCCTACCTCCGTACACTGTATCCCACCACCCGTGGAGCATACCTCGCCCGCACTTTACTCTCGCAGCCCCAGCCCCTTCTCCCCCCGTCTCCCGCGGAAGCCGCCGAAGACCAAGTGTCGATTCCAGACGCCAGGTCACTAGCAGGAACGGCACGAACGTCCCACACATCCCTTTCGACCAACATTCTTTATCCTGAGCCAGCGAGTACACCAGTGGGATCTATCTCCGCACATCGCTTCTGCCGTCCGCATCTCCATCTCCATTACCATCCTCCCACTCGCCGACAGTGCGAGCACCAGCCCCAGTGAGCACCCTTCACAAATTCTGCCATCTGGTATGTGTCCGTGTTCCATCCCATACCCCCTGAACGGGATCTTCGTGTACACCACACCCATGGCTTCGCCTTGCTGCAACATGTTTGCTGACATTCTTCGCAGATAACTTACGTTCACCACCATGAGTGCTTTCGGTTCTTCGCCCCTCATGGACGCCTTTCCCACCCACCACTTTTCCGAACCACCCTCGCCTACCAAGACGGAGACAGATGACCTTCCTATGGAAGTAGATCAATCTTTCAGCTCTTCTCTTTCCATCTCGGACTCTCCGGCCTTCTCCCCAACACCCGCTATGGGTACCAACAGGGGTTCCGGCTCTTCCAACCTCCTCCCCACCCCGCCCGCTTTTTCGCTCAAGCCTAGACGACCGGATCCTGTTCCGGTCCAGGTCCGACCCTCACCACGCTCAAAGACATTCGGCGGTTCTGCTTTTGGCTCCAAGCCGCTCGGTCGCGAGAGGTCTTTCGGCACGGAGCTCTCTACTAACGGCAACGCCAGCAGGCGATCCGTCGAGTTGACCAAGAATGGCAAGGGCAAGATGCTGCCGCCATCTATCCCCGAGAGTCGGATGTTGAAGGTCCGAGGGTCAGTGCCCATGCAATGGTCGTCGTCAAACGAAGAGATGGGTAGTCCAGGACCGAGAAAGATGTTGGGAGTGCCCAGGACAGAGGTTGGTCATCTTGCGCCATGGTGCGGACTGTGCTGACCGATATCTCTAGAGCGACCCACTTCTCTGCTCACCGGTATCAGGCAGATCACCGAGAACAATTGACGACAACGATATGGACGTCGACTCTCCTCGCCCTCTATCGGCTTCTGCTGCTCGACGCGGGTCCCTCATGGCGTCTCCCGCGTTTGGCGGCCCGGCGTCGTTGAACGGCTCTCCAGGACTTGGCTCCTTTTTCTGTGACTCGCCCGGCCAGCCGGTGCAGGCGCCTCCAGCCAAGAGGCGCAGTCTCGTCACTCCTGCCTCTCCTTCCTCGAGCTCGCCCTCTGCCAAGCGCGCATCTTTCGGCTTGTCTCGTCCGCCTCTGGAAAAGACCGCATCAGTGGGCCCCATGCTCTTTGGCAGCACTCGCAACGGATCTATGGGTACTCGCCGTGGTATGACTGGCACCAAGCGTCCTACTCTTGGCCCCTTGTCCGCCACGACGGGCGACGCTTCCCGCATGACCTCTGCCAGCTCGGCCTTCCCCATTCTCTACGGCCCTCCAGCTCAGACATTGGGTAGCGGTCAAAGCGGTACCTTCCCCCGTGCTGCCATGGCTCCCATGCGACGTGCTTACTCTGTCTGCGACCAGCAAAAAGCGCATGAGGTGGATGATGATGAAAGCGAGTTTGAGAACTCTCCGTCGCTTGGGACACATGCCGAGTATGCGAGGAGGTATGACTCCAGAATGGCCTCTCATGTTGATGGCTCTCCTGGCTTCAAGCCTTCGAGAGCTTCTATCGCTGCCTCTGGTGAGGGAGTCGCGAGCCCTATGGGCAAGAAGATTAGCCCCTATGGTCCTGGAGGGTTGCCCGGTTTCGGTGATAACGAGATTGACGGCAAGATCCTGCCTTGTCACAAAGTCAAGGAGGATGGTTTGGTGAGGATCACCCCTGATACTGTGAGTAGCGTATAAATACTCTTGGAGTTGGCTAACGTTGTCTTAGCTCGACAGCCTCCTTGACGGCAAGTACAATGACAAGCTGAAACGGTTCCATGTCATCGACTGCCGATTCCAATACGAGTACGAAGGCGGTCACATCGCCGGCGCCGTCAATGTCAAGTCGATGGATGCGCTCGATCGCTTGCTTCTCTCTGAGGATGAGGGTCTTCACGCCAATGGGGAAACTTTGCCTACCCCGAGCCGCAGCGGAGAGTTGCCAGACGGCCAACCGGTTGTACTCGTTTTCCACTGCGAGTTTAGCGCCAAGCGAGCCCCTACCTTTGCCAAACACCTGCGCTCCCGCGACCGACTCCTCAACAATGCCATATATCCTCGCATCTTTTACCCCGAGATCTACATCCTGGAAGGTGGCTACTGCGGCTTCTATCAAACCCGTTCCGACCGCTGTGACCCCAAGGGCTACACACGTATGGATGACCCCGAACACTTTCATTCGCGCGACTCTGACTTGCACGAGTTCCGCAAGTTTAGCCGAACCCGTTCATTCACCTACGGCGAGTCGCAGCAGGCAGCGGCTCAAACGTCGAGGGCGCTGCCCCCTTGTCCACCTATGGCCTTTGCTGCCGCCTCAGCTGCTGCTGCTAGGCGGAATGGAGCCAGTGGAGTGACGATCAAGGAAGAAGACGACGGGGAGCCCGAATCCTCGCCTCACCCAGGCGACAGCAGCGCCGAAGTAGACTTTGGGACGGACGCCAGTCCTTGTCCTCGAGGGCAAGTCGTGAGCTTGGGTCAACCGCCTCTCTTTGGCTCGGCCAGACCACGGACATTGGGCCGAATGGGTTTCGCGAGAGTTGCCTCGTACGCGGGTTCTACGAACCCCAACTCTACTGGCTCGGGCTTTCGGTAATAACTCTGGCCTTATAACGACACTTACAACGAAAACGAAATGATCACGTATCACACGACCACAACATGCCTCCACCACCCCTTTCCCCACCTAGAAGCGCCCGGTTTCGCTTTTACTGTGAATAATAATATTGAAATCTCTATCTTTCTAAGACTTTTCGTCTTTCCCTCTGGGAGAACATTAGCATTGTATCATCACAGCTCTTCGCTTCAATACGCATCAGCATTTTTGTCCTTAACGCCCTTTCCTCTTTGATCTCAGCAATCGTTTGGAGGGACCCTGTTAGTTTACCATTATATTCCCGCGCTTGTCATATACACGGCATTATTATTGTACTGTATCTATTACAGACCCCCACTTTTACTCTTACATGTGAGCTCTTGAGAGCCTTTTATGATCTACCCCGATGAACATTGATATTGAGCAACCTTCCGAGATTGTGCAATTAATTAAGTCCATGACCCTTGTTTGGAAAACTATAACATGCCTAAACCGCAAGCACCTGACACTGCGTCCTATCATTTCAACGTGTTCCGGCATGGCATGTCATTTTGCGGTTCACTTAGTAATGGAAGAATGATATGCATCGTATGATCGTACAACCAATGTTCACAAGACTTTGTGGAAGATGAAGGTTGGCTGGTTCCCCTGTACTGCCGATGTTTGTCTTCCTCTCCATCGACGACCAGTCTTCAATCTCGCCGACAAGCTACACTTCTACACAGATGTCTTCTAGACCCCACAATCTGCGGGGCGCATCATGAATCAACCACAATGGGTTCGTGACTTTCTGTTGTTGTAGGGGGTTCATTCAGAACTTCGGACGGGGGGAGAGGGGGCGGGGCCAAGGGAGACTGAGGTTGAGTGGGAGCGGTTGGCTGGGCGACAAGGGCTGAAGGGGACGTGAGTTTGACAGTGGCAGGTTGAGGGGCGGGTTTCGAAGGAGCATTCTCTGGCGGCGTCAACCCAGCAGCAACCTGCAGGAGTCAGTGATCCATCGATAATCGACAGGCCAGACAAACTCACCCAAGCCTCCTTGTATACTCTCCAGCATTTGTCCTTTCCCTTTTTTCCCTTCATCGCCGACTCCTTCAATTCTGCCTCAATCGCCACCTTTGTCGCCGCCTTTCCGAACTGCTCTCTCAGCGCGGGCACCAGATCCTTGGCAGTCCTCGTGTCGCCTTCAACGATTTTGTATAGGTCGGCCAAGAGCTCAGTGGGGAAGGAGGACTTGGCGACGCCCCGAGGCTTTGGAGGAGCGTCTTTGGGTAGTGCAGAGGGTGGTGGTTTTTGAGGGATGAGCTCGGCTGAAAGAAGGCATTTGACATTCGAGTTGGGCCCAATGACGGCGATGCCATAGTCGGCTTTGTACTCTTGGGCGGGAGCGGGAGAGATGTACGTGAAGGGGTCTATTTGTGCAGGAGTGTCTACAGAGGGTCAGAAGTAGTCCGAAAGCGCGTTTGATTGACCGACCGTTCAGCAGCTGAATACGATATGACTCCAACCCCTCGGTCCCCTTTTCACCAATCTTGGTCTCCCACAAAGGCCCCTTCCAAGTCGGCACAAGCTTGACGATTCGTTTCACCGGCTCCTTCTTCTTGGCCACCTTTGCCGGGGCCGGCAGCTTGCTGACAGACCCCATCGGGTCATCCACATCAATAACTTCTGGAGGAGGTGGCTCAGATTCCACTTGTTCAGAGTCGTCCAGCCAGTCGTCAAACTCGCCCTCCTCCTCATCCTCGTCATCATCTTCCTCTTCTGCCTTTTCTCCGCCCCCGCCAAAGTCATCAACATCTTCTCCGCCTTCGTCTTCCTCCCACTCATCTCCCGAGTCGATCGAGTAATCAAAGACTGGATCTTGGGCAAACGGCGTTCTTGGTCCGACGAGCAACGACTTTTTCGTAAACGTCCCGCTATAAGGCGGTCTGGGCTGTTGGTCGAACGCAAGAGTCTTCCAAGGGAAGCGGCGCCTATCTTTCAACTGTTCAAAGACGTCGCGGGGTTCTTCGGCTTCTTGAAGGGTGGCCCAAACGTCGGCGATGGAGCCATTTATGGGGGCCGACTTGATGCCTGAGGGGAAGATGCGGCGGGGAATGCGGAATTGATGATTGTGTCTCTTGAGATGATCGTTGATAAAGTCTGAAAAAGTCAGACGATGGACCCGCGGCAACGCAGACTTACCTCTAGATGACCATCCTTCGACCTCCTCCGCCTTGTCCTCTCTCGATCTCTTTTGCTCATCCCATCGATTTGCTTTGGCGACCTGGATATGCTTCTTTGTCGGTAATGGCCTGAATACCCTTCTATAGTCGCTCTCCTCCTTCCCCTTCTTTTGGGGCGAGCTTGAGCTAGCCGGTGAAGCCTTGGGCGCAGAGGTTGTTTTGGTCTTGAAGAACATGGACATCTTCTTAGCTTGTTTGGCAGTGGCTTCTTCCTTTTTCTTGGCTTCCTTGTCCTTCGCTCTGTCATATCGTCAGCAACGATATAATGCGAGGTAGTGTCGAGCTCACGCCTTCTTTTCAGCCAACACAGCCTTCTTCTCTTCTCTCTCCTGTCTCTTGGCCTTGGCAGCTTCAATCTTGACCTCTGCATCAACATTGTTTCCATCACATGATGAACGGAGACGTACCTCCTCGGGCGTCTTTCCAGGTTTGATAGGCGAAGATGCGCTTTCGATCTTGACAGGGGACGACCCCCTGATCGAAGATCCAGCTTCCTCTGGCCCCTCGCTCGCACGACTAAAGATTGCCGACGTCGGCTTCTCTTTCGGTACCGCAGCCACCTTCGCCGGCGTCTCTTTATCCTTATCGTCTTTCTTCCCCAACAGCTCGTGCTTTTCCACGTCATCCAAGCTTGTCATGATCCCGATACATTCTTCTCTCGCCTTTTCTCGCTCTTCCTGGCGCGTCCGAAGCAATTCGAGCTGTTCTGAAGGAAAGTATTTGGGGAGGTCGACAACTTGCCAACAACGTATTTGGAGGTGCGCAGGGAGACGGGGAGGGGGGGGAGGAAAGTCGGAAGGGAGGAACCCGTATTGGTGGAGGGCGAAGAGTTGGCGTATCAATGGTGTCAGGACCGAGTTGGGCAAAAGGTCTGCACACCCGTGAGCGATGTGGTTTAGGTTGATAGAGTCAGCAGGAGCTTACCTTGATCGGTCGGGATGTTGAGAGCGGTTTTGAGCTGCTTCAAAAAGATGCCTTCAGTAGCACCAGTCCTTTGGTGGTGTCAGTGTGGCACAGGTGATGATATAAGCGGCTTACAGTTCGTGCCCGGCCATGGCGATGATGGACCAGTGTTCCTCGGGAATCTCTGTGACTTGTTTTTGTTCCTCCACCTGGTCGAGCAGGTACGTCTCGAGATTGATGAGCTCTGGTAGACATGTCAGTATGCTGGTAGAGAGGGAGTTGTAGAGCTCACTTCTTCTAGGAAGAATGCGGTTGTGGGGCGCTTGCTGAAAGACAATCTTTTTGTTTTTGATCTCGACTAGTGAAGAGCGCGGTGCTGCATGTCTCGCGTCAGTCTGCAATCACTCGTATGACCCACAACCTACCTTGTACAACCTGCCTCTTCTCTGCCCGCTCATTCTCCTTTTCCTCTCCTTTAGCATTACTCGAGAAGACGTCTGCAGCTTGTTTAGCGCCCAGTCATTGCAAATTGAGCAAAGAAGAACGCGTCGCGTCGACGTACCATCGACCTTTCTCTTCGCAGCTCCCCCCTTGGGACTTGTATTCTGCACTGCGGTGTTATTGGCCATAGGTTCTGGCGACCTGGCCGTAATGGTCTCGCCGTGGGGTGGGAAGAAAAGTTGCGAGAAGGGAAGATGAGGTGGACACAACGCGACTGGACGCGTCGCACATTAGAGCGTCATTATCTTGGTCTGTTTTTATTGATTATCTCCCAAAAAGTCGCGTGCAGCCGAGTACGAGATCCCGAGGGTGCTACACATGGCTTGCTTGGATACAGCTCAAGGCCCTTGTGGTCTATACACAGATCAAAAAGAATGCAGAGAGTAGGGGGTAAGCATGGCAAATTCAGGTGCATATTGCTGCAAGTTTGGTTCCGATACGCCACTTTGTGATCACTCAACGGGTCCAAAGCAAAAAAGAAAAAAAGTTGCCACCGGGTCGCCGAGGACCGATCTGTTGCATCTGCTGCATCTGAATGCAATCTATAGTCGACAGATTGAGGCCCTTTACGTGAACTCTGTCATGATTTCGTCTTCCTCGCAAGTGTCGTTTCTCTACCGGGCCGAGAGGTGTCTATCCGAGGTCGAGTCATACCGGAAGAACGTGCTGCATCCGTGCTCCTTAGCCCGTAGCTCGTCAAGGCGCGTAGATACGCTGGACTGGAACGTTGATACAGTGCCTACATGCCGGGCGCCGAATGCGGAATAAGATGCTAGTGGGGATAGATTGCAGAGGCATGAGAGCTGGCTGGGGCTAAAACTTTCAAGCTTGAGAACTCACGGTCTGTCCCGAGATCCCGGGTAGGCGGGGGTGTCCGCCAGGGAGGTGGCGGTGGATGACGCAACGTCTGCCCTGAGCTCGCGAGATAAACATCGACAAATCTGGCCGCAATTTTATTTTTTCCAACTTGACGCGACTCAACGTTATCGTACGGAACCCATGCAAACGTATCTCTTTCTCTTTCTCTCTTCCATCACTGCTGCAGCCCCCAAGCCATACACCCCCCACCCATCCCGCCGTCCCTGCCAAGCTGCGCGCGAGACAGAGTTCACAGTGAGTACCTTGACCGGTATCTTTCCGACCTCAGACCGGAGCGGGCCGCAAACGTGCGACTGTAAGCGGCAAACGCAGCCCACGGCCCACGTTCCTCCCCAAAATCATGCTCGGTGCTTGGAGGGCGAGACCGTACGTGCACGGCGTCGTGCGTGCATGCACCCCGCCATGCACATGCCCGCGCCGGCGCGACCGACGCCCAACTATTTTTTCCGTGGCCTTCGCTACGGCCACCACGCTCGCATCTCATAAACGGCCGTCCATTCCTCTTTTCATCTCTTCCTTCTTCAGGTCCATTTTACGCTCCCCGCGAGATCTCGCGCTGACTGGTGTAGACGACCGTCATAACCGAGTCATCTTTTTATCAGATTGAGAGATAGTCACCCTTTCGGCCGACCCTGACTTGTCAGCTGAGCCGACTCGCGCTTCAAAATCTTTCCTATCGTTCTCTATCGCATCTTTCTGCTCTTCTATTCCCACGCCAAATTTCCTGTACACAGTTCACCACTCTCGCCAAAGGCATCCCCCCCACCTCCTTGCACCGACAAAAGGAGCGCACCCACCTGGCCTTCAAAACGCCGACAGAAAGCCACAAGATCTTCCCCGCCAATCCCCCTCTGCTGGTCCTTCACTACTTGCTCAAACTCGTCACAGAGTCTGAGCTTGGCATTTCGCAGCAGAGATATCAAAGGAGTAATCGCGGACGAGCAAAGGTTATCCCACCCCACCCCACTACCAAAGTCTGGGATTCTGTATTCAGCCGCCGCCGACCTGTCCTGTCGGAGTCTGAGCTCGAAAGTCCTTTTCGAGTCCCGCCACCGCTCGGTCCTTAGAAGAGTATAAAGCGACGTTTACTCGGTAAGTCGTTCACTTTTTTCCTCCAACAAAACATCCCAAAAAAACGCACGATACCGCTCAGGTCCTTGTCGTCATTTTCCACTCGCAAGCACGCAACCGTCCCTTCCCCATCCTCAAAAACCAAGATCACAACTGACATGTCTTTTCAACAGCTCTGCCAACAGTGCGGCCTCCCCCGTACATCCCCCCGTCTTGATACCATGTTTGAAGAAGACTTTGAGCGCTGCTTTATCTGCCAGGGACCGTCCAAGGGGTGAGTCACCGAGCCACGCTGTCCTCAAATCCTTACTGACACTTGCGCAGGCTCTATTGCTCCTCGGACTGTCGCCAGAAGGACCAGGGTATGATGTCTCGTGCAGCCCCAGAGTCAGGCGGCGTGCATATCACTTCCCAAATACCTCCCGCGCTCAGCCCGCATATGCGCCCCCACCACCCCTCGGGCCTCTCGCCACGGAGTACCAAGCCACGCACAACGAGCAATAGCACGTCGTCGGGCTCTTCGTCGGCTGTTTCATCGCCCCTGCAATCACCACGGACAAATCCTATAGAGTTGGACTCGCCCCAGAAGGGTCTGTTCAACCTGCCGCCCCCGGCTTATCCGTCCAAGCAATCGTTTGGGGTGACGTCGTCGGTACCCATGAAGATTCCATCACTAGCCTCGCGGACGTCGCCCGTCTTTTCGGCGGTCGGCACACCAGGATCAGTGGGATCAACAGTGTATGCCAACAATGCTTCGATCGACACACTACGGTTCGGGCGTCGGCCTGCCGCTGTTAACAGCGTAACATCGCCGAATGCCCTCATCCCCCGATGCGCCTGTGGCTTGCCAGCAAACCACAAGGGACGGTCAACGAGCAAGGACCGAGCCGACCTGTTTGACTCTGGTTTCTCCCGTTTATCGCTCAACCCCCCTGGTACAGCAAAGGAAGAGCCGATAAGCCGTTCGCTGCGAATCGTTTCCGACTCTGCTATTCCTCCGTTCACGCTCTCGCCAAAGGTGATGCCCCAGGCAATCACGCCCAATACGCATGTGACGCCGTTGAATATCTCTGAACACCCTTCGCCTATTGCGCCTACTACCCACCTCTCTCGATCCCGTTCCGACCCCATCCCCCCTTCCCCGCAACACAACCGCATTCCCCCAGCCCCCGTCGTCTCGAATATTGCTCCTCCTCGCCGCCAGAGTGCCAACCCTACTCCTGCAAACTGCCCAGGTAGGGAGCATTGTTGCTCTGGACTGAGGCAGAGCACGAATGCGCTCGGCGTGACGGATGTTGAATCGCCCAGGAGGGGACGAAGCCGGGAGAGGACGAGCCACGAGGAAGATGAAGATTGCTGCATGGTCGCTCAGACCCAGCATGGTGTTCTCAACCACCCACCAGAACGAGAGGCTGCCCCGTCTCGATCGCGAAACAGGCGGGACAGCGCGAGGCGGAGTGGCACGAGGTCGCGGTCGAGGGTGAGGGAGAGGTCGCGCCCTAGGGAATGGACGAGGGAATTCGGCATGTCGAGGGAACGGCCTGCAGATGGACAGATCTCGCCCAAGCACCACCACCTCTCGCCTAGGCAGTCTGAACCGCAGATTCTTCCCAGTTGGTCTCGCCCGCAAGGGTTCGACCTCGAGAATGGTGTGGCCCCGGGCATGCGCCGGACGGGGAGCGGGCAGGAGAGGCGACGTGAAGGCGCGAGGGAAGGCGGGGAGAGGGGCAGGGGGAGAAGTCAGGAGGAGGAGAGGAGGGCGCGAAACCAGTTTGGACAGGTGTTTGGCGTCGCTGCTGGATAGGTCATGCGTTTCTGGGTTTCTTTCATCATTATAGCATACATAGCATTTTCAACAAGCAAAAGAGAAGACACTCTCATCCATCTGTTTATATATCGATAGCTTTTCAACATTAGCATAGGACTTCAGGCGTTTACAGCATAGGCATAGCAATGCATGGGGACATTTAGCATGGACTTTTCCCAGGCATGGTGCAATTGCTGTGGGAGGCCGCATGGGTCGTTGTGGCGTGAGATGGCGGGATCTAATCCTTATCAGCGTGCCTGGCGGTGGGATTCTTGAGAGGGTTGCAGCTGAGTGAATTCAGACTTGCACGGTGAGATCAGTGACTTGAGGAATGGACCACCACCAGCTGGCACAGGCCGCACTCAGCCTCCCGCCCCTCCTCCACGTCGCAAAGGCAAAATCCCAGTACGCCACACACTCCCACAACCGCCTCAGCTCACAGCCCACAGCCCGCCCCCGCTCATCTTCCGCCACTCCCTCTTCCTCTTCCCCCTCTTTGTCGCCGCCTCCATCCTCATCCTCCTCCTCTCCTGGACTATCCCAAAACTCTACAAGGCCATCAAGTCCAAGTTCAGCAAGCACGGGTACGAGCGGATCCTCGCGCGCGATGACGAGCTGGGCGTAGAGACCGAGGCCGTCGAGGTCGTCGCTGCCCCGCCGGCCATGCCGTCTGGCGGACTCTTGGACGACTTCAAGAAACACGTCCGGTCCATGCGGGAATACGGCACGGTACTCTTTGCTCTCGAGGTCATCCGCACGCTTTGTCTCTGTGCGCTGCTCGGCCTCAGTATCTATGCGACCATCCTCGCCGAATCGCCGGTGGAAAACAGCACAGACCTCGGCGATGTGGATATTTTGAAAAAACACTGGAAAGGCAAAAAGGGCAAAAAGAGAAAGCACCACCACAAGTCGACGGTCGATGACTATTCGAGCTTGGAATGGGGAGAGTTTGGGGTCTCGGGGTTCTACCTCTACACCTTGGTCTTTTCATTCCTGCTTCTCACCCTTCGGCCGGCCACTCCCCTGAGGCGACACCTCATCGCCCATCTGGATGTACTCTTGCTCTTGGGTTTCGCCGTCTATGCCTATAGAGACTACTGGCCCCTGTTCACATTCAACCTCGAACCCGCCGACATTCACAACGCCATCACCTGGTCCCGTGCCGTTATTCTCACCATCGCCGCCGTCGTCATCCCGCTCATCCGGCCTCGTACCTACACACCTGTTGACCCCGAGAACCCCACCCCACCAGGCGAGGTGCACCCGGAGCAGACGGCGCCGATCTTGTCGTACATCTTTTTCGAGTATATGACGGGCTTGGTTTGGAAAGCTTGGAAGTCGCCAAGCTTGCCTTATGAAGCGCTGCATCCGTTGGCGGATTATGACGGGGCTGCTTATCTATATAGTGTGAGTTGTCTATCACGGGAGGAGCCCGTACTGACATCCTGCAGCAAAACATGGACAAGCTCGACCCGGTCAAACGTAAAGCCAAGGGCCTCAAGCGCCGCAATCTCGTCATCCTTCTGGCCTCCATCTTCAAGGAAGAGATCGTCTTTGTCTGCGCCATGACCAGCATCGCTGCTATTCTCGAGCTCTCTGGGTCTGTCGGCATCAACCAGCTCCTCGACTATCTCGAGAAGGACGGCAAAGGACACACCCTCCGCCCCATCGTCTGGATCATTGTCCTCTTTGCCGGCCCTACCCTCTCTTCAATGGCTCTCCAGTTTTACATCTTCACCACCACTCGTACTCTCGTCCGGACCGAGGCGCTGCTCACGCAATTGCTGTTTGATCATTCGCTGAGGTTGAGGATGAAGGATCAGGTCGATGATGATCGAGAGAAGGAAGTGGAGGAGATTGACAATGAGGACGCAGTTGTGCCTGTGGTGACTGTCGAAGAGATTGTGGACCATGCTCCCGGGGCACCTGAAGAGTTGCTTCATCAAGCGGACAGTGAGACAGAGAGAGAGACTGCTGTCGCCCCTTCGACGGAAGCTACCGAAGTTGGGAGCTCTGCCGGTTCCGACAAGGACAAGGCTACGTCTCGCAAAGCTGCCGCCGACGCTGAAGCTCAAAAGACCAAGGGCCAAGGTCTGGCGGGCAAGATCAACGTCCTCATGGCTGCCGACATTGATGCTCTCATCGAAGGCCGTGATCTTGCCCTCGTCTTTGTCTACACTCCAATCCAGTTTGTTCTGTGTATCGCCCTGCTGTATAGGATCCTCAGCTGGAGTTCCCTCATCGGGATGCTTACCATGTTCATTACTCTCCCTCTCCCCGGCCTGCTCACCAAGCTCAACGCGCAGTTCCAGCGGAAACGGATGCTGGCAACGGACTCGAGGATCGATACCATCACTGAAGCGATCGGTGCGCTGAGGATTATCAAGATGTTTGGCTGGGAGGACAGGATCAAGGAGAGGGTGGCGGCAAAGAGGGAGGATGAGTTGACGCTTATTTGGCAGAGGAGGTTGATGACACTGTGAGTGGAATCGTGTCGTCTGTTGGATCGTGCTGAAAGAGAGTAGCTTTACGACTCTCTTGAACACTGTACTGCCCGTCTTGACGATGACGGTGACCTTTGCCGTCTACACTACTGTTCAGAAACAGCAACTCACGGCGGCCAAAGGTAAGTTTGGGATGTGCGGCTCGGATGTATGTTGATGTGCTGCAGTCTTTACCAGTATGACGGTGTTTGAACTCGTAAAGGGACAAATGGGCATGGTGAGCATACTCTGGTCGAGACTGGCTCTTGACGCTGACCGTGCAATCAGACTTTCTACTTGTTGAACTCTATCGTCACTGCTTGGGTGTCTGTCGGTCGACTTGACAAGTTCCTGCACGAGGCAAGTCCTTTCCAGTCCCAGATTGACTGAACTAACAGCCTTCCAGAGCGAAATGATCGACGAGTACGCTGAAGAGGCTTCTACTGACGACAAGCCCGAAGGCTTGCTCAAAGCTGAAGAAGACGGTGTCGTTCGATTCCACGAGGCCACCTTCACCTGGGACCCCAAGCCGTCAAACAAAGATGATCAAGGTTTCAAGCTAGTCATTGAAGATGCCGCATTCGTCAAGGGCAAGATCAACTTGATTGCTGGACCTACCGGTAGCGGCAAGAGTTCTCTGCTCAAAGCACTGGTTGGTGAACTTCATTTCCACCGAAAAGCCGGTTCATTCTTCCATCTGCCCCGCTCGGGTGGTGTCTCATATGCCGCCCAAGAAAGCTGGTGCTCCTCCGACTCTATCCGCGACAACATCCTTTTCGGCGAGCCCTTCGAAGAGGCCCGATACTGGAAGGTCATCAGCGCCTGTGGGCTTGAACCTGATCTAAAGCTCTTTGATGACGGTGACCACACCGAAGTCGGAGAGAAGGGCATCACGCTGAGTGGCGGGCAAAAGGCGAGGATCACTTTGGCGAGGGCCATCTATAGCAGGACTGCTGTTGTGCTTCTGGACGACATATTCTCTGCTTTGGACACCCTGACTTCTAGGTGGATCATCGACAACTTGTTCACTGGCGACCTTGTCAAGGACCGAACTGTCTTGCTCATTGTAAGTCGATGAATATGCCTCAAGCGTCCTGCTAACGTGGCACGCAGACTCATCATCTCCATCTCATTGCTCCTGTTGCCGACTATATCATCACTCTCAATGAGGACGGTACTGTCCGATCGCAAGGTTCTGTCAATGAGGCAGCTCTCGACCAGGGCGAACTCGAGGAGGCCGAGGCGGCCGAGGACCAAGAGATTAAGGATGCCGAAGAAGAGGAAAAGAAGGAAGAGAAGAAGCCCGCTGCCAAGCTCATCAAGGATGAAGAAAAGAGCGAGGGACGTATCTCCAAGAGAGCTCTCTTTGCGTTCTTCAGAACTTTCGGCGGCCCCGTCTTCTGGTTCCTCTACTTTGGACTCCTTGTCGGTGGTCAAGCCATGTCCTCTTTCGAGACCTACTGGCTCGGTCGCTGGGCTCGCGCTTACGACGAGTCTGGGACCCCCAAGGACGTCTCTGTGGCATTCTACCTCGGCCTGTACTTTGTCTTTGTCCTCATCGGTCTTGTCGAGCTAGCTGCTTCGGCTATCCTGTTCTACATCGGTGCCGTCAAGGCGTCTAGAGAAGTGCACAGGAGACTGGTGAATTCCATCTTTGGAGCTTACATGCGATTCCTGGACTCTACTCCTGTTGGTCGAATCATCAGCAGGTTTACCAAAGATATGAAATCCGTGGATGGATCTTTCACCGAGGTCAGTGCTGCTTGCTAATACAAAAGGACATGGCTGACCTGTGCGCAGACTTTCGCGAATGTTGCCGATGTCACCGTCGGCCTTGCGCTCAAGATCATCGTGGTTGTGTCCTTGGTGCCGTTATTCTCTCTTCCCGCTGTCGTAAGTACACCACTTTGGGCTATGGACACTGTTGACCGATATGTCAGTTCATTGGTCTTCTTGGAGGTACCATCGGCGAGATGTACATTCACGGTCAGCTCAGTGTCAAGCGAGAAATGTCCAACGCCAAGAGTCCTCTCTTCTCTCACTTTTCTGCCGCTTTCAATGGTATCGTGTCGATCAGGGCTTATGGTGCTCAAGACAAGATGCGCAATGAAGCTCAGAGGAGGGCGGACAAGTATACGCGTGCGGCCGCCAATGTAAGCCATTTCAGCAATTACATGAGCGCTTGCTGACCTGTCTCTTGCAGTTGTAAGCCGAGCAATAATGCCAAATTCATCTCTGAATCAACTGACGTTTATTTCAGCTTCAACTTCAACCGATGGGTCACGGTACGACTTGACATGTTGGGTGGTCTCTTTGCTGCCTGTCTCGCTGCGTTCTTGGTGTACGGTCCCCGACTCGATGCCTCCACCGCCGGTTTCGCTCTCTCACAGGCCATTTCATTCTCTTCCATGATCCTTGTAAGATCCAACATGTAGACGCTTGCTCAGGAGGCTGACATATTGCATAGTGGTGGGTCAGAATGGTCAACGAGATGGAGGTACAAGGCAACTCAGTAGAGGTCAGTCCCTCATACTACAATCATGACTGAAGCTCACAAGTGACTATAGCGTATTCAAGACTATCTAGACATCCCTCAAGAACCCGCCTTTGATGACCGCAAGCAACCCTCTGCCGCTTGGCCCACATCTGGAGAAATTGTGCTTGACGGACTCTCTGCCAAATATTCCAACGATGGCCCTATCGTCCTGGACGAACTCAAAGTCTCCATCAAGAGCGGTGAAAAGGTCGGCATTGTTGGGAGGACAGGGAGTGGAAAGTCGACCTTGGCTTTGGCTCTCTTGCGAATGCTGCCTACCACAGGCAAGGTGCTGATCGATGGGGTCGATACTGCCAAGATCAATTTGCACGCCCTGAGGTCGAATGTGACTATCATTCCGCAAGACCCGGTGAGTCCAATCTGCTTCTGCCAGTATCAAGCTGACTCGGTTACAGATCCTTCTTTCCGGTAGCTTGCGATTCAACCTCGACCCCTTTGGTGAGCACGACGATGCCGAGCTCAACGACGCGCTTCAATCCTCTGGCCTCGGTGACACTCGTCAAAGCGGAAACTCGGGTAGTATCACCCCTCAACGTCTGTCGCTCGACACCCACATCTCAGCCGGTGGTGGTAATCTGAGTCAGGGCCAAAGGCAGCTGGTGGCCCTTGCCAGGGCTCTAGTGAGGAACAGCAAGGTTCTCATTCTTGATGAGGTGAGTTTTGACCGTGGCCGGCAGAAGACAGAGCCTGATCAATCATCAGGCAACTGCATCTGTCGATTTCGAAACCGATACTCTGATCCAACAATCTATCAGGGATCTTCCATCTTCTTGCACCGTTCTTACCGTGGCGCACCGTCTGTCCACTGTCATGGACTATGACAAGATTCTCGTGCTCGGTGCTGGAAAGGTGCTCGAATACGACACTCCCAAGAACCTGCAACAGAACAAGGAAAGCTATTTTGCCAAGTTGGTCCAGGCGATGGAGGGTAAAGATGTCGATAGCACGTAATATATATATATATGTAGACCATGTAGTCCAAGGCAGTATAGCGCATCCATGGACATTGACTTCCTGCTAATGCAAGTTTAAAGCTTCTGTGGGTTTACAAGCTGTCTGACAAGGTTCCCAACACTTGTGACAGCTCCTTGCTTCCCGAAATATCAACCCTGTTACCTCTTCGTTGTCTCTGATATAGGTCCTAAGACTGATCGATGAAACTAAGAAGGAACCCAATGGCCAGGTAGTACATATCCACATATAAACATCTTACTTTGCCTCTCTTTACAATGCTATAAACTTTTCCTTGTAAATCCGAGTACATTTTGTGTACGTTGGGGCACCGAAAACTGACCCTATGCCAAACCTACAACCCTTCATTCAGTCACTCCGTTTGCTTTGGCAGTCTTCTCGGCAGCCTCCGCTGCCGCCAGAGCTGACTCGAACCATCCCTTCAACACCGCCTTGTCCTCTTGACCCACACTGATCCTGACCAATCCCTTCTCCACACCATATTGCGCCGCCCAATCCAGCTCGAGGTAGTGAGCCAAGATGGTGTAAGGCGACGCCAAAGTGAAGCTCGTGCCCAGTGACGGTCCCTTGGCGCATTCTAAAGTGTCAAAGAACGCCTGGGAAGCAGCAAGAGAGGTGAAAGTCAGAGAGAACAATCCACCATAACCGCCCTTGCCCAGTGTTTGCTTTCTTTGCGCTGCGGCATAGATATCAGATGTGATATATCTCGGGTAGTACACCTTTTTGATGATTTTGCCTTCGGCGGGAGATGTTGTATCGTCGAGGGAACGTCTGTAGAGCAGGTCACAGACGTCGTACGCGTTGTTGTTGACCCTTTCAATACGAGCGCGATAGTCTCGTGAATTACGTTCCATGTAGACGGCGTCTTCGGGGAAGTAGTGGTCCTCGTAGGTAGCGTCCTGGGCAGCCTTGAGATCGGCGTACAGGGGCCCGTTGGGGTTCAAGATCAGACTGTAAAATGTCAGCTGATACAGCAACCAGATATGCACAGTTACTCACCTTCCACCCATGACGTTTGAATCCCCACTGAAAATCTTGGTCAAACTGCTGACCACGATATCCGCGAAAGTGACCACCTCGACATTTACAAAGTTGCCGATTGTCTCGTCAACGACAATCACAAATCCATATTTTTCGGCGAGCTTTCGAATCCGGACGAGGTCAGGACTCTTGAGGAGTGGGTTGGAGGGGAACTCGCAAAAGAGGGCGAGGATTCGGCCTTCATCGGGGTTCTTTTCACTCGCGATAAGGAGCTCTTCGAGGGCGTCGACCTCCTCAGCCCCGCCAATACCAAGGAAATGACATCCCGGGCCCCACTTGTCGAGGATCTTGAGAGTGTCGGTGTAGGGGAAGCTATACAATTGTCAGAGGTGGTCCAACTGAAAATGACGAAACGTACCCATAACAGACACTTTTACCCTCCACCTCTCCCCTCGCTCTCCGTGCCACCCGGGAGATATCATGCGCATGCCAAATAGCACTCATACCACAAGGGTACAAGTACACATCTTCTTCAGTGACCGCCCTCTCCCCAGACCCAGCACCCCGCGCCACATCATCAATTTTGCCATAACCTTCATCACTCGGCAGCAACCCACCCGCAATACGCCTCTTCAAAGCCTGTTTGGCGAGAGGGGCATTAAACAGTGGGAGATTTCGGCCGTATCGCTCTTCGAGATAGGTGGTCAAGTCGGGTGTCAGATTCTCCTCAGAAATGGGGACGGGGTTAGCCGAAGGCTTGTCCAAGATAATGGAAGAAGAGGGAGTGTTGTTAGCAGAGTCGTTGGGGGTAGTGGGGGTAGGAGGAACAGAGGTAGTCCGGCGAGAGTAGTGCCTATTGCGGGTGCTCGGGGCTTTGCTGGCCGGTCTTTCCAGGGCAGGAGGCGACGCGGCCCTGGGTTCAACACCAGCCGGAGTCTCGCCGAGGAACGCAAGAGCCTTTTCAGCACATCGAGAAGTGATACCGTCACCAGTATGCTGCCAGAATGCCTTGGCGAAAGGCCAGTGCTCCTTGCTGAACAAGAGAATCTGGAGCTCGATGCAATCGACACCTAGAGATTTGGCCGCAGAAGGGTCGATAAGGGAGTTGGCGGAGGGGCAAATGACAAATTCGACTACTCGAGACTGGACCGGGGGAGTCCGTTTGGCGAGAAAGTCCCGGCCTTCAGCAGCAACTTTGGGGGTGGGGAGAAGGATGCAGAGCTCATTCGGCTGACCGAATTTTGCGAGACATAATGCCGCGAGCTATGAGCAATGTTAGCAAGGCAAATGAGGAGATTAGTCTCAAGACTGACCTTTTGAATACTTCTGTGGATGAAGAATCGAGGGTAACCGGTCTCCATCTTGTCGACTACTCGTTTATCTCCCTCCTCGTAGCCGACGTTGTCCTCCCAGGTGGGCAGGGAGACGGAGATGGCATGGGCTGTGAGGGCTGGGACTGAGGAGCCGAGGGGTATAGGCCCCGCGGAGGGCTGGACGGTATGGGGCATTGTCGTTTTGTGTTTTTTGGACGATGAAAGAGATGATGCGATTCACGCGCGCTCGCTTCGACTCAAGATTACGATAAACTCGGCCCCCGAGCGGTATCAAATATCAATTTGGTTCCACGCCATGACATTTATCTCTACAGAATTCGTGATATACAGCTCAAAAGTCCCAGTCAGACGTATCCTCCCCATCCAGTATGAACGGCTTGTCCAGAGCCAGCACTGCTCCTTCACAAAGCGGGCAGCTTCCCGCCACAAGGTCATCCAGCTCCTTCCTCAACTCTTCCACCCTCACTTCATCTATAGCATCCCTCTTCTTGACCTTCTTTCCTGCTCCTCCCTTCTCCCCGCCTCCGCCAACACCGACCCCAGCGCCGACGGCAGACACGGCAGAAGCGAGCGCATCAGGAATGATGAGCTCGCGCAACTTGTCGCCTGCTGCCATGAGCTTGTTGCGGCCTGCCAGAGTAGAGCCAAGCAAGTCTGAAGTGACGTTTGCAGCGGCAGAGTCTTTTCTCCGGGGGGTGTTGGCTCCTCCGGTAGCTGCGGGAGAAAAGTTGGAGGAGAGAAGTTGTCTACCAGAGGTTGTTTCTGTGCGTGATACCAGCTCATCTTGAAGATGCAGAAGACGTCTTAGCGACGGCGAAGGTAGGTTTTCCATCGCCTTCAGGGTATGTCAGAAAGTCACTCGAGTCACGAAAAATACTTACCATTGATATCAAACAGTCGCCATGGAAAGTATGCTGACAAGGAAACACATAGAACTGCCTGCTGACCAACTCCAACCCACACTTCCAACACTTGTCTCCTTGTTCCACTGTGACAAACCTTTTCGCCAGAGCATCGATATCCCGTTTGATGGATTCGGCGGAAGCAGTGGCATCGTCCATCTCGGATTTGAGAGAATCAATGTGGGCGGAATAGTCTTCGAGGGCCGAGCAGATTTCGGTTTTGAAATCGTCAATGACGACAAAGTCGGGGAAGAAGGGAAGGATGTCTTCAATCTTGAGCAGGTCTGTAGACTCGAGGAAGCGCATAGCACTGGATACTGTCAGCTGTAGAGCTTGGTAGGGAAATGAAAATATTCACCTCTTGATATCTTTCTGCTCCTGCACAACATACCTCGCAACCCTCAACCACAGCTTTTTCCTCAACGCCTCATCGTCCTCCGGCTTATCCGCATTCTCCTTTGCCAGCTCCAAGTCTCCTTTCTCCAGTGCGAGATCGACACTGCTTTCGTACAGACCGAGCTTGGAGTAGATGAGGACGCAGGCGTGGATCCGGTTGTGCAGCTTGCAAGTCCGCAAAGCGTAATCGAGATCGTAGTATGGCTTTTCCGTTTCGGGGTCGTCTGGGCACGAAGACAGGAATCGCAGGAGAGGGGCGTCGTCGGCGTCGGGATCCGACGCATAAAGCGTGAGAAGTAGGTTGTAAATGGTCGTATCTGTGCACCCTTGGTGGTGGATCGCATGCGACAGATACCGGACAGCGTGGTTGGCAGAAATCGGTTCAGATCTTTGGTGCTGCTGCAGTAGAGCAGGTATGAGGCGGCGAGGAGATAGGCTTGGCTGGCGGATCCAAGAGTCTACCGTCTCTCGAGGTGCGTGTCGCATGAGGATGGAGGCGAAACGGTAGTAGAGATCGATTGACGTCTGAAATGATTAACTTGGCCCAGATTGGATCAAGGCAACTCACTTGTCGGCTCAGGACGTCAATAGCTTTCAGCCACTTTTCCTCCGTCACATAATATTCTACAATTTGTCCATGATCCTTCTCGAGATTCGCATAGAACAGGTATAGGTCCGTTCTTCCATGACTCTCAATCAGCTCGTATACCACCTTGGGCTCGAGGTCATTCTGCTTCCAATCAGCAAAGTGCTCAGGAGGCAGTCCTTCTGCGATTCACCTGGTAGGACGTCATGAATTGTCTCAACTCTTCTTCTATTATCTTTTTCTCTGCTTTGAGGTTCTGTACATCTTCACTGGCCGACTCTGCGGCCAAGCGGTCTTCCAGTGTGTTCCACTTGGCCAAGTAGATTTCTACCAGCCAAGTGGCCAGCATCATCCTCTGGGTCCGTGACTGCATCTCTGATCAGCATTTTTGCCCCAGAAGAAGCTCAAGAGAACGCACCTTTTTGTCTAATCTGTTCAACCTTTCCGACAAAAACACTCTCAACCCATCCCGCTCCTCCGCATCTATAAACTTGAGCGCCACATACTCAAAGCTTCTATTACTCGCAGCAAACGACTGGGCGGACTGGATGAATCGTTCTTGGAAAAAGAGGGCGTCACCTTGTCTGGAAAGGATGATATCTTTTTGGAGAGTCGTCTGTTTGCAGGATCAGCATCGGGGAGAGGAGAGAAGTAAGCAAGTAAGCGGGCTTACATGAGCAAAGGTGAGGGCCTTGTCGAATTCTCCCTTGTCCAACTTGGCGCGCCACACATCTCTGTCTTCATTCCGGACCAGTATCTCCAAGATGGACTTGTTTGTGGAGATCCAGAATGTCTGAGAGACCGGGTCTGCCGAGAGACCAATGGCTTTCTCACCCACAGACTAACACTGTTGTTAGCGTAGCTCGAGTTACAATAGGTAAATAAGTACACACCAGAGGCAGTCTCTCCTCCCAAACCAATTTCTCATTCTCCCTAGATATAGCGACCACCTGATCTGGGTAGAGCAAAAGCCAGTGCCATCTTGTGATGGCGACATCTATAGGCACAGCCGGTACCGCCGCACTAGGGGTGATATGACGGCTGAATCCCGCTGGTTCCTCTTCCGATGCAGGATAGGGCAATAACGAAGGCCTATTCAAGATCTCATTCGCGGGTCCCTCCGACAGGCTCGAAGTATACAATCCTGGGCTCGTAAGCCACGCCACATCCGACGCTGGGGGAAGGTTGTTTGCCGACTGTTGCTCCTCAGACGGAATGTATGCCCTCAAGACAGGATTTGGAACGTCTCCGGGCAGTTCTTGGAACCTCGGGGTAGTCTCCCGGATGGGTTTGAATACCTCCTCTGCCCAGCCGCCAGACTTGCCGCCAGCGGCGGTGGTTGTAACGTTGCCTTGGACCTCGTAGAGCCGTTCTTTGGTGGTGATGACCACCCAACCACGCTTGGCCCCTGTTCTAGACGCTTTCTGCGCCTGCGCGCCAGACGGCCAGAACCCAAAGCCTAGTCCCGTTACAGCTCTCTCATCTGGCAGAGTATACACAGTCTGCAAATCTTTTTCTGTAGGCTGTCCTCGGCCTATGGAGACGTTCTTGAAGATGTCATCCTGCGGCGGTAGAGGAAGCGACAAGATCTGCCCAGTGGTAGTACCCAACAAAACATCCGTAGCTGGTGGAGTAACAGCATCGCCCTTGGCCTGAGGATACCCTTCGTGGGAAGATACAGGAATTGGTGACCACCCGACAGCGCTAATGGTATGCCGTATCCGTAACGGTCTCGGGCGCCTAGATTGGACAGCTGCGTTGCCCGGGCTTATTGGCAGGTAGAAGGCGTCTCCCGTGTTTATAGTCACTATCAAGTGCCTTGCCGTGGGGTCTGCAAAGAGCTTGTTGATGACTGGAGACTCTTTCTGCTGAGATCCCTTTTCTGGCGCAGCTTTGGGCAGGTCGATAGTGACTAGTTCGTCAGGCTTTTCGAGGTCGATGATAATTACCGACAACGGAGCTGAGGCGAGAAAGAGTATGTTGTTGACTGAGGTAAGGTGCAGTATTGATGAGGGAGGAGAGTACTGAACGAGGGAAAGGGAGAAGAGGGGTGGTAGGGATTGAGACCGTGCGGAGGGGATGAAGCCTGTCTCGAGCTACGATACATCAGCTCTGTTAATTTCACCTGCACGCTAGCTTACAGCTTGCACCATATGAGCGTCCTGCTCTCCTTCATCATCTCCGTCCTCCTCGAACCCTTCATAGCCTACAGCGTCGATGCCTGTGCCCGCGATAGCCGATGGCTGATTGCGATATGCGGCCGAAGAGTGGCCGACGGAGGGCCCCGAGGTATGCTCCACAACTATAGATTGTCAGATAACATCACAGTCAGTTCCAGGGAGCTTACAATCATCGAGCATGGACATGGCGGGCTGTATGGCGCATAGACACGACGGTCGACGACTAAAGCGCGAGGTCATGGTCGGACCCATGACGTGGAACATTGAGGCGAGCGGGGTTCCCCGCCAAGGGAAGGGCCATACGCGCGCCTCTTGTGGGCAGGCGTTGTCGGAGGCTCCGGAGGTTGGCCAGCAAGGTTTCAGGAACGGCACGGCAGAAAAAAGCTTAACAGGCAGAATTTCTGGATTCTTGTTGTGGCGCCCGGATTTATCGCAGCACTCGCTGCTCAGTGGTGGCTCATGGGGTGCAGGGGGCAGGGGGTGCGCAGGGGATGCCATGCGGTCGCTGGTGGGCAAAGAGGGACACTGTAGTCCAACGATTGCATCCACAAACACGACGATGCACCCTGGATGATCTATGGGCATTATTGCGCGGTGATCGCCCCGAGTTGTCACCGCTGCACGCCTGTTTATACTCCGAGAATAATGGAACGTTCTAAACGGGGCTCCCTGCTCCATTGCAGCCAGTTCTGGCTCGTCAGCAGACCGAAGAAGGGAGCGAAGCGAAGAGCGAGCCGATAAGGCCGGTAGAAGCCAGCATCCAGTTGGGCGGGGGAGGGGACTGACTCGCAAAAGAAGGACGCTGTTCTCGATCGCCGGTGAACGGAGATAGTCCCGTCCATGCCCATGCTCGACGTCTTTCCACATCTCAGTTTCTTCGTCGTCCATCGCAGTTCGTCTCGTCTCGACCATCCTTATCGTCCTTGTCCCCCCAAACGGCATCTCTCGTTACTTTATACGTAACAAAAGGTATCGAGTTCCTGGCGGTTGTTTCCTAGGACATCCTTTTCGTCCTCGACAACTTCCCTCGCACAAACAGTCAGTCTCAGCCGCAATACCCTCCTGCCCATTTACTCACAGTCCTCTTACTCGCGCCAGATCATCACTGCTCTACTTCATACTACTCGACCAGCCTTACCCAACCAACCGCATCGTCGACACAACGAACAGCCGTTTTCTCTGCGATAGCCATCCATGTCTCCCTCCCACCACTCGCGACTTCCGCCCTCCTATCGCACCTAATCTCCTTACTCTTGTCACCTCAGCGGCATCCCATCCCGCTCCGTGATGTTCTCCCCGCGCGCTGCCCCTCTTCTGGATCAACTCAAACTCTCCCACGTCCTCAGTGGCGATACCTGCCCCCCAATCTCTTTTGCAGACTTTGCCGCCTTTGTCATCAACAAGGACTTTTCCACTGAGAGTCTGTTGTTCGTACTGTGGCTTCAGGACTATCGGAAGAGATGGGAAAGATTGAAGGAGGAGCAAAAAGTATGTGTGCCTCTGCCGAGTCTCAGTCTAGTGCATCGCGCGCATCCTTTTGACTATCTCGCGTCAAGAGCAGATCCGGCTTCTGCGACGAAGGAAGGCAAGGCCCATTTGGAAGATGCTGGACGGCGACCTCCAGCTGGGCATTGCGCGCCGTCCATCGTCTCCACAGTAGAATCGCATGAGGGCAATGAGAGTATCGTTCTCTGCGAACCTGCCACTCCTTCAAAACTATCGGCGATGCTGCCCCGTTTCGCCCGGCGAAGCTCTCTCCAGCCCACCTCTCTGCCTCATATGCAAGTCAGCGAGTCGCCACATCCGGTTCTGCCTCCTGCCGGAACCGTGTTCTTGCCTGTTGAAGAACAGGCCTTGTTCCTACATGCCCAACGAGGGTTTGAAACGTTCCTCAAAAAGGGCGCGCCGCACGAGTTGTTCGTCAGTGATGAGCTGCGAGAGTTTGTCAAGGCGTGTCTGCAGCATAGTACTGCACCAGATCTGGTAGGTCTATCATAGGGAAATGGCATAAGCTGACGCCGGACAGTTTCAACCGATTTATGATGAAATGTACTTTACGCTGGAACAACAATGCCTGCCGCGCTTCCTGCTAGCGGCTAAAAGCAACATCAATCGTCCTAAGCAGCTCTTCTGGTGAGCCTTTACCCCCTCTCTCAAACTTTCACTGATTATCTCTAGGTACTCTGTTGGTGCCGTCGACTTCACCATCGGCCTTATCACCTTTCTCCTTCTGACCCTCCTCCTCCCCGCTCACCCCTTCTCACTCCGAGCCTACCGCCTATTTTCCACCATCTTCATCTCTTTCGGTGCCATGCAAGCATACTCGGCTTATCGCGGATTCTGTTCGCAGGTCTGGAAGAGATCGCATAGGCAGGTATGGCCTTGGGAGGGCGGCGAATCGAGGCTGGGGGACGAGGAGGTAGGTCTGAGAGGCAAGGATATGGCTATGGCACAGATGGACGTGGTCAACACGGGAGAAGAAAACTCGTTCATTCTCAGCGGTATACATCCGCTCTCCAATGCCGGGGCTCTGGAAGGGTTCGAAACGCCTTCTCGATCCTTTCAGGACTCTGCCGGGTCGTCAAAAATCTCACTCAACCTCCCCACCGTGCCTACCCTCACAGTCAACAACACAACGAGCTCGCTCTCGATCAGTCCGTCCGATGTGTATAAGACCAAGCAGCCGAGTGATCATAACGGGAAGATGGGACAAGACGAGGCTAGGCAGATCTCGCCTTTTGCTTTCGATGAACCCGATATCTGGGGAGTCGGGCCTTCTCGTCAGGGGCCGCCGAAGAACACACTGTCTTTACCCCCCCACGGCACTCCTGTCTCTGGGTCTGGCGAGCGTGGTCCAGCCGAACGCGCATCGCGCAACATCCGTCAAATCCTCTCTTGCCTCTCTCAACGTCGCCCATCCCACGAAGATCATCGGCTTCCGGGACAAGGGAGCTGCCAGAAACGGTGTCGTCGAGAGAGCTACCAAGTGTCGATCTTCGGTCCGGAGAAACTGGTGGAAGACCCAAGGATCAAGAAGGTGTATAGCAATATCAGGCGGGATATTTTCATTGTGGGGGGCATCGTTTCGGTAATTTGGGTGGCCTTGTGTTTATCTGTGCCCTGCGCCGGGCTATTGTGATGTTTGTAATATAGCTAGTGCGTTTGCCGAGTATATTCATTCGGCTGTGTATACCATATATTGTTCGTTCACGCTTCACGGTCATCTTTCTTGAGTGCTTTCGCATTTTCCATAGTATGGTCATCACACGCAATCGTTGTTTGTGCCATAGACATATATATTCGTATAACTTTACTGCAGCATGAAAGTATAGTCACTCATCATTCAACCCCACAAAACTCGCGTCACATCTTATGGGTACGATAGCTCCCAAAGGCTCACATCTTCGCTTCTCTCTCAACCGTTTGTCCTCTCTGTTCTGATCGCTCTGTGTGAGTGCAATCTTCCTGGTCATGTCCTTTCCCTTGGGTCCCTTCTTGTGTGTCTGGGGAACCCCCTGCGGCATCTTTGGTCCATACCAAGCAGCCACAACCTCACTATTCCACCACTCTCTCTCGAGTTCTTCCACTTTTGCACCACACGGCGGCATACCCTCCTGCTGTGCCTCTTGCAGCATGGTTAGAACCCGATGCTGAAAGTATCGGATGGAGGCAATGTATGCCGGGGCGGCGAGGGAGGAGTTGACGTGGGAAGCGAGCAGGGAGGAGATGGACGTCAGGAGGGCAGAGAGTCGCTTAGTTGATGACGATTGTGCGGGAAGAGACTCGGAAGTTTGGGGCAGCTGAGCAGGCGTGTCAGATGCCTTTTCCAGAAGCAGACCCAGTAGAGCACTCTCACCATGGTTAGCAGCAGCCGAGTATTTCTATGCGCCCAGCGTCAGTTGAGGTATCGATGCGTCCCAAAGTGATGATCCTTGCGGCGTTGGTATCGGAACGTATCTAGTCGAAGCCCATGTCACTTTCTCCCCCCCTCCCCAAGACAATAAGTGTTCAGTTATAACAATCCCCTTTGGAAGGCCAGTGGCGTCGACGCTGCCGAAAAATCGAAACGAAGCTTCTATCAAAGGAAGGGTTGGAAGACCTTAGCGGGGCCAGAATGAGTTTGATGGCGCTATGGTAGACTATCTAGAATGAAGCCTAGATGGTCAAAGGGTGCGGCAATATTTGCAGACGACTTTCTCCCAATAATAGGAAGGTGTAGGCTGATCTCTTGCGATGCGTTTTGAACTTTTGAGAGTGAACGGAGAGCGGGTGACTTGATATCTCATGGTCATTCAGGATGCCAAGAGAAGAGGCGCTCCTCTGACCACATGGGCAACTCTAGGGCTCGATAGTGGTCTCCGCTCGAGCTGAATGGCAACTGACTACCTTTCATATCCTTGCCGTGCACTCTCAAGATCGCACTGTCGTTTCTGTATGCCTCTGTGAAAAGAGCTCGGGATGTTACATAAGTGTCACACGGGTCCATGACCTCTAGCGATGACCTTGTAGTAGTCGAGGTGAGTCGAAATGACTTGAGGCCCATGAGAGGTAGCCAAGCCAATGCCGGAGGACATGGACGCTTGTGTTTGAAGAGACAACAATATTTGATCGACGGAGTATCTAAAAGCTATGAAAGAGTGTGGGTATTTATATCCAGCCTCAAGCCTACGTATCCTTTTCCATGACTTTCCAGTGTTTTCTACAGTGGCCAACAGAGCGGCAAAGATTATTCTAGATGCTTCGAGATATTTCTGGGTCGAGTGGCGACAGCCACGTGACAATAAGGCACAGATGCCCACATCTTCGGACATGGCCGAAGCACGTCTTCGCATCATCATGTTCGTTGGTTGGCGATCTTTCGCTGTTCTTTCCCCGGTATTTGGGATTATCAAATCCATGTACATGCCAAATCTATGTACATGCCCTGACCTTGATGTAATCCCTCGGATGATAATCGGCCACCCGAAGCCCATTGACATATAACAACGGCATCTGAAATTCGAGTTGTCGTGCGCCCCAACCAAGCAAACCAAAATGCCCAAGCCCGAGCTGGAGTTCAAGCACCTCACCGACTTTGCGTGGGACAGGAAAGAGGGGTTTGCCCAGCAGATTCTTGCTTACGAGTTAGTCAACTTCCTATAGACGATTCGCGGTACTGATCAGACATTCTATACTAGCGAAGAGACTGGGGACACTACCAAGGTCGTCTCTCGAGACCCCGGACATGAGCAGCACGGCCCCCCTCAGGTCCATACCGACTTCTGGTGATTATGAGAATGATGAGCTTCGTCCGCCGCTAAAATTCATTAGGGAGGAGGTCTACATATTGTCGGGCTCCATCTACGACAAGGGTCTTAAACAGTACGCACATTTCAAAAGCACAGCACATCAAGCTTATTATGGCCTCAGGTGGTTCCGCGCCGGCTCCTACTGTTGCCGACCTCCTGGTATGGTGAGTAAAGGCTCCATCCTGTTCTGGACCTTCGCTGACTCGACTTGTTAGATTCATGGTCCTTACATTTCTTGCCCCAACGAGTAAGCTTGATCTCGACGTACTGTATGTCTGTCTACTGACACGGCAATAGGGGCGTCAAAATGTTCGTCAATGTCCGCTACGTCAGAAAGTCTGATGCCCCCGACAACTCATAAGCAAACCTTCCTACATTTTGCATGCAAATACTGTCGCATCAAACGGTCCATATCTACTGGCACTCGCACACAAAGTTACGCCTCTTTCGTTGCCGGTATCGGCTTTCCGGCCAACGGCGTGATCCTTATCATATGTCGTCGCTTTCCTGGGGGCGTGTCCAGCAATGCCGTATGCTGTGCTCGCCTCTGGTCCCAGACTACGACAGTCCCCTCTACTACAAGTCAGACAAGTTACTATAATTTAATGTAACACTCACCTTCCCACTTGACACGTGCTTGGGTATCAGCCGCGCGAGCGACATAGTTGAACAAGAACTTGAGAAGGTTTTCAGACTCTTCTTTCTTCATGCCGTTGATGGAGGTGGTGAAGACTTCATTGACGAAGAGTATCTTGTCGCCAGTGACCTGCCAGTCCTTGTCAGCCGACCGCTAGAGCACATTCCTACGATGATGTGCTCACCGGATGCTTTGTGATCAAAGGGTGAAGAGTATTGACAGCTTCTCGACGGAGAGAGGTGCCGCTTTCCAAGAATCAGCCTCAAGCCTTCCTTCTCGTTTTCGCTGGTGACTCACTCTTCCTTGGCCTTCTTAGTAAGCGCGTTGCTAGAGTGAACTCCTTCAAGCCCGATGAGGACGTTCTGCATGACTGGCGAGAGCCTGGCAAACGCTTGCACCGAATCGGACATGATAGTGTCGCCTCCGGACCAGCCCTGCATGCGCAGTATGAGGACAGCTCTCGGTAAGGATAGATTCTACTCACTTGGTTTTCCAAGACGCCAAAAAAGGTGACACCTGGAGGCTGCCTCTCATGAGTCTGATCCGCATGCCAGTTCACGCCGGAAACTCGGTCCCCCCAGTAATTGCTAAGACGCGTCAGCTACAATGCCATCATAGCCCCAAAAGATCTCACATTCGGCGAACATCAGCAGCAGACTGGTAGATCACGGCTATCTCTGTTTCTGTTGCCGGGCGAGGCTGGACGGGGTGTTTGTGCAGTGGACCAAAGTGCCTAGGACAGGACAGGTCAGTGTCTGCTTTTGAAGCAATGCACGGTGAACACCAAACTCGCCTAGCAATATCGAGCTGCTTCTTGAATCCAGCGTCCTTCCAGTTCTGCCCACGGAAAACTGCAAATCCTCGTTGAGCAACGAGAAGGCCCAGCTCGTCGAGACCGGCAGGCGTAAGCTCGGTAAGCTGCACATTGTGGAGTTCCGTGCCGAACAGAGGTGTCACGTCCCGAGCTATGGTGCTCTTGTTGATGAGATTGGGGAGCTTCGGGTCTGCACGAAGTGCTGGGTCGTTGTGCTCGAACGGCTCGTGTCTATGAAAGTCAGCTTTTCGGGACCTCTTCTACTGCCTATCGTAACTCACTCAGGAAAGAGCTCGTCGGTAAAAGTAGGCATGTAAGCTGGGTAGAGGGGTGTATCGAGCTCATGATCTGCTGCTAGTACTCCCACCATTGTGATATCTGGAAGAGACAATGGAAAAGTGTTGTTTAACAAGTTGTACCGAGTTCAGTGATTTACAGCTGGCCGTCGGGTAGCCTCGAAGAGATATGTATCACCAATGCCAGCCCTTCGACGGATTGTCCCGAGGGTAGACAGGCCGTGGTCCTCGTGAGCAGCTTAAGGACGGTGTGATCGAAATAACTTCCATGTTCAAAGGACCCCGGGCACCCGAAAGGATGGCGACATCTCTCGTCATGTTGACGGCGATCACTCTCGGGCCCGGTTTCGAATTACCGTGTTTGTGGGAAACCCGAACAGGTTGACCCGATGTCGCTCCATCTCTCTCATGGTATGGTCTTTCTCCCCCTCGAATGCTTTTCCATCTTCACTCTCCAGTGGCGCACAAAACATCTCCGACTGCTGATGAACGCTGCGATTCTCGGCCTTCAAATCACGCCATAAGTCGCGCGACGCGGGCCCACATCTTTGGTGTCGCCGTCTGCTGTTTTGCACTTTGCTATCTTTTCGGTGACTCTCTCTCGGGAAATTGCATGTTGAGGTCTCGCAAATGGTGTATTCCTATGCTGACGTGCTTTGAGTCGTCCCTTGATGCGCAGAGCTTATTGTTCAACCATATTTTCCAGAATCTATAATATATTTCGCTCTCTGCTCCCCAGTACAGTCTACCTCTTTTCCAATCTCTGTAGATCTTACTTGACAATGTGGCCATTCTCTTTCAGAAAAGTGAAAGCCGAGAGTGATGGGGAGGAGGACGCCCTCAAGAGGACTCGAGCCTCGCTGGTGCGCCGACTGGACTTGTTCCTTATGACCTACGTTTGTATATCGTACTGTAAGTGTTTATCATGAGCCAAAGACGCCCGATGCTTACCCGCTCACAGGTATGAAATACGTGAGGGAGTGCGATTGAAAGCAAGTAGTATAGCATACTGACAAAGAATGCGCCATCTCAGATCGACCAACAAGCGCATAGTAACGCGTGAGTATTGATGGTCATCAGCTTTGGTGAATGCTGACACAGTTGGCGAAGCTATGTCTCTGGTATGAAAGAAGATCTTGCCTTCAAAGGTAATGAGTACAACTGGGTCGGAACCTGTTTCTCGATTGGGTCAGTTACGCTTTCATATCACACGACGGCTCTTCAACGCTGATCATCTACATCATCCCCAGCTATACTATCGGCACTATACCCAGTCAGTTCCTTACGGCCAAGTTCCGTCCTAGTGTAATCAGTGAGTCTCGCATGTTACTGGGAAGGACAAAGCTGATGTCGTGCAAGTCCCCATGTTCGAAATCAGTCAGTAAACTTGTATGCCTGTGGGATCGTGTCTGACTGGTCACCAGTCTGGAGTGTTCTCATTATGGTCAACGCTGCAGCAAAGAACGTCAAGCTTATCTTTGTGAGTGCTCCCTTCAAATGATGTATATTCCGCTGACTATAGGCATTAGGCTATGCGATTTGTGCGTAGTCACGGTCTCCTACTTGATCTTCGTTCACGAGCTCATGAATGACCCATTGCAGCTCATCGGACTGTTTGAATCCATTGCATACCCAGGTGAGTCGCACGTGTTGACGTTCGCGGACGAATACATGCTAACGTAGCATAGGTTTCGTCAGCGTCCTCGCCTCGTGGTAGTGAGTCATAGCTTCAGCTGTGTCACTTTAGCGCGTTCACTGACGGACACCAAGTACACCAAAGGAACTCGCCAAGAGAGTGGCCTTCTTACAAGCCTCTAGTGCCGCGGGTTCGATGTTCTCGTGAGTTCAAGAATAAGCTGCCTGTGGCATGAGCTGACGACGATCAACAGAGGATATCTCCAGGCTGGTATCTACAAGAGTCTCGACGGGCGCTACGGTCGTATGTGGCTCAGATCGATAATCGCACCATGAGCTGACCTGCCCTCTCAGTTGCCGGATGGAAGTGGCTGTTCATCATCGACGGTATCATTAGTTTGCCCATTGCCATCACCGGGTTTTTCGGTGAGTACCGCACGACGTTCAATCATGAAATCAAAGTATTTATCCCTGCAGTCATCCCCGATCATCCTTCTACTTCGCGTACCTTTTGGCTCAAGCCTCACCACCTCGAGCAGGCGGTGGAGCGAATGGACGAGATTGGTCGAGCTCCCAAAGGCAAGCTTACCTGGCAAAAAGTCGTGGCTATCTGTGCGTATACCTTCTATGATCAGTGAAGATAGCGTCTGACGACGTGCCACAGTCAAAGAGTACCCTGTTTGGATTATCCTGCTCTGCTACCCCCCATGCATTGTCGCCGGTCAAGGTAAGGTCCCGCCATCCGCCCTCGTTCAACAGCTGACGTCATGTTCCAGCCATCTCGTACTTCAACCTATATCTCAAGAGCAAACCTATGGGCCACGTCTTCTCCGTGTACCAGATCAACCTCATCCCTACCGGTGGTCAAGCCCTGCAGATCGTAGCCACTATCGGTGCGGCCGCATTGAGGACTTTTTCAAGGCGCGACTCTCCATGATTGTCATCACCGCGGGTATCGGTATGCTCGGTCACATCTTGCTCTCGGTATGGGACATTGGGTTCTCCGGTCAATTCGCAGGTAAGCTTGGTGAAATGTTGAGTGACAACACGAAATCTGATGGCGTTTAGGGTACATGCTCATCTACTGTGCTGTCGGCGCGGGCGCACTTTGTTTGACTTGGTTCTCCGAGATCTGCAGTGCTGATGCCGAGGTCCGAACCATCATTATTGGTCTCGCGAACGGAATTGGATACGCTTGGATCGCGGGTTTCCCATTCTTGATGTATCCAGCTTCTCAGGCTCCTCATTGTAAGCGCATTTCCCTACTGGATGTAACGTTGAATGAGCGCTTACGAACGTTTACAGACAGGTACGGCTACAAGATTGGCGCTGGATTCTACGCTATCACCATCACCGGCTGTACAGTCTTGGCTATTCTGGTCAAGCGCTACGGCACGCCTTATCAAAATGTTCCGAAGTCTGTTGTCAAAGACGTCGATCAAGGGTCAGAGGGGGAGGTTGGCGGAAACTCGCAGGACAAGGAGAAAGAGCTCGATTTCGAGAGGACTGAGGCTGTTGCGCGACTTTCCCATGAGAATGAGAGAAACTAGCGTTCATAGGCTCATCACTCTTTCACTACGTTTTTTCAATGTTCGGGGTCTGCTGTTCCTATAGATTTTTCTGTTTTGGTTTCCCTTCAGTCTATTCAACAATTTAGACAGCGATTATAGGCATGTATCCAGTGTATTGACATGACCATCATATGTTGAGTCAGATTGCTGATGCAAGAGAAGCGCAGCGCATTGCCAAAAAGACAGGCGCGTCCGCAGCGGAGCAAGCCGGCTTTGAGTGGAGGTGGCGAAACTCCCGATGCTGCGGTGACGTCACCTGGGAGTCAATCCTTGCATCAAAAACGCCCCCAGCCGTCGTTTATAAACAGCGCTCAGCCCTCTTCTTCTTTCTTTCCCACGAATCCATCCATCCACATCCACAATGGCCTTCACTTGCTCCGACATCTTCAAGATCATCCTTGCCGTCATCCTCCCTGTTCGTGCCCCTCCCCGCCCATGCAGTGACCCGCTAAAACTCCAATCAGCCTCTTGGTGTCTTCCTTGAGCGAGGATGTAACGCCGACTTCTTGATCAACGTGAGTACAACTATATGGTATTGATAGTGTACACTGAGCTGACACTGCTTTCAGATCCTCTTGACCGTCCTTGGTTACATTCCTGGTGAGTCCTAGTCTGCTTTACACATCCTTGAGGGGTTATCTCTTGGCATCCGCCGGGGTCGGCGGCCCACAGCTGGTTCTCCCTGTGGGACGCGAGACGGCCTGTATCAGTGATGTAACCTCCAGAAGCATGCCGGCTGCAGGCTGTGGCTGGATCTGGATGATGGCAGGCACCGCTCTTGGCGGGGCCAGGATCTGTTGCCGCTTCCCTGTCTTTGCCACCAGATCGCCTTCCCCGGTGTGCAGGAGGCTACCTCAATCCTGTTCCTCCTTTTGCATGGTGTAGCATCCCAAAACGTATAGAATCAACCGCTGACTTTGGTTTCCCTTCTTCTCTTGGGTCCTCTCTCCAGGTATCATCCGTACGTCCTTTCTGTATCTTCTGTTTAGAGTCATATACTAACTTTACGCAAAGACGCTTTGTACATCATCCTGAAGTATTAAGGCGTTCTCTGTCTTCCCGAGGGTGTGATTACCACCCCAAGGCAAGCAGAGAAAAGGGGACTGAAATGCAAGAAGTAATATGCGTGAAATGGACTTTGGGGATGCTCCCGGGGCCGGCGGCGCAAAGCATGTAACTATATGTTCTTATAACTAGCCTATGTATCTCATCTGGCTATCGAACTCTTCATTGGTATCCAGTCCGTCTCAATGAACGCCTCTGGTCGTTCCATAGCAACCTCCTTCACTGACTGCGATACAATCACGGACCAGGCAATCGTCGAGAACATCTAGAGACCCAGGTCTATGACGTTGCGCACCTTTGTGTCTACTGCTGACAGTACCCTCTGACATCCCTACGTCTGAAGCTTCTACTGCACACTCCACGGAGTACAGCGAGGAATGGCTCGGAATTGAGGATGGCCAGATGCGCTTAGCGCTGAGCCGTAAGCGCTGCCGACCGTTGTTTTTCCATTTCGCCCCGCTTCGGCTTGTGCATCTCATTCTCCATCTCCCCGCCTTCGTCCCCCATCTCGCCAAGCTACATCTGAGCTACCCCTTCCTGCATCCCCTATCAAGTCATCATGCTCGCCCGCTCTTCCCCGCTCCTCCGCCAATCACTCGCTGGCCCACTGCGTCCATCCCGGCTCGCCCTGCCCCTCCATCGCACGCTCCACAGCTCCTCTCCCGCGGCAGAGTACAAGGTCACTGCCAAGCCTGCAGAAGACTCGACGTTCAGAACTCCCAACTATGACTACAAGTTCCTGAACAAGCCTGCTACTGCTACCGTGAGTGAGAAGGCTTTCTTGGGAGCAACACTGACTTTCGGACCCCGTAGCTTGTCGGCTGCCCTTTTAGGTATACTTTGCAGCTACTCGGGTTATAGATGCCTAAGCTGACATGTATCGCAGTGGCGGCCAAAGAAGAGCCGGCGTCGACCTCGCTCCCAACAAACTCATCTCCGCTGGCATCATTGACCAACTCACCGGCCTCGGCTGGCACGTCAACTACGAATCCCAAGACACCTTCCTCGACATCCCCTACAATCCCCTTCCCTCCTCTTCCACTGCTGCTACAGGTACTGAAGCTGCTCCGTCATTGTCGGGCGAGAGGATGGTGCAGCGGTTGCCCGACCCTGATATTGGGATCATGAAGCGACCAAGATTGGTCAGTGCTGTGAATGAAAAGGTGGCAAAGGCTGTGGGTGATATTGCCGGGCGGAAGGAGCTGCCTGTGACCCTTGGTGGTGATCACTCTCTCGCTATGGGGACCATTGCTGGTACCAAGAGCCAGTACCCTGATGCCGGCGTCATCTGGGTAAGCTCCTTCGCGAATTCGAATCTATAATGAGCTGATGTAGTGTAGGTTGATGCGCATGCGGATATCAACACGCCTCTCACCACCGAGTCTGGTAACCTCCACGGATGCCCAGTTTCTTTCCTTATGGGTCTTGAAGGCTGCGACGTTGAGCCTTTCAACAAATGGCTCAAACCCTGCCTCAAGCCCAAAGACATGTGCGCCTCGCCCCTCCTCTCTTCTTCTGCTCTGTACTAACCAGAATTGGTAGCGTATACATTGGTCTCCGGGACATTGACAATGGCGAAAAAGCGATCCTGAAGAAACACGGCATCAAAGCCTATACCATGCACCACGTCGACAAGTACGGTATCGGCAAAGTCATGGAGCTCGCCCTGCAACACATCAACCCCACCGGCGAGCGTCCTATCCATCTGAGCTTTGACGTGGATGCGCTGGATCCTACTGTGGCGCCTAGTACTGGTACACCTGTGAGGGGTGGACTGTCATTCCGAGAAGGTATGTTCTCGTCTCTCAAGGGGCAAGAGCTGATGAGTACTCAGGACACTATATCACGGAAGTCGTTGCCGAAACGGGGTGTCTAGTGGCTGTTGATATCATGGAGGTCAACCCTTCGCTGTTAGACCCGAAGAGTGTGGAAATGACTGTTGCTGCTGGTTGTTCTTTGGCACGTGCGGCGCTCGGCGAGAGCTTGTTGTAATCCTCGATACCTCTATTGAGGCAAGAGACACAGGCGGGCGAATTACGAATACATGTATCCTGTATACCTTACAGTCTAGAACATCTCGACGTACTTTTTGGTACAAGAGTACCTATGAAAATGAAGATCAGCAAGTGTGCAAGGGCTAGAGAGGAGCAAGCGTACCACTCCCAATCAAAGTTGTCTCGCTCGTTACACCAACAGCGCCCTTTCGTGTGTGCATCTCCTTGAGGGCAGTGCTAAGTGCAAAAGTCAGCTCTCCATTTAGCATCACATAGAAAGAGCTCACAGTGAAAGGTTCGTGCTTGTAGCCAATGTCGCTGAAGAAATGTATCTGTTCCTTCTTGGCAAACAATGCTGCAGCGATGGAGTGTATAGGCGCATCTCCCCAGCGCTCATAGTAGAAACCACCCTTGCTGTCGAGGAAATCGAAAAACTCGGTATAAGCTGGGGATCGCCAAAAGTTGAGGTCGGCAATCTCAAAATTGGACCAGACTATGACGGTAATCAGCTCGTCGTTTTCCCGTGTTCACACCACAATGTGAACGCACAGTGGCATTTGTTGTAGGACTCGCCGCCGTCATCGCTGACGAAACTCATCGCGTTGCCATCGGCGAGATAGTCGGGGTGATTGGCTACAAACTCCTTGACCGCGTCCCACAATGTCGGGATGGTACCAATGTACTCGAAGAGGGAGATTGTAAAGCCGTAGACCTTTTTCTCATCTTGCATCAACAGGAAGGGGTCGTAAGCTGCGATAGCGTTAGTCTGACTCATACCATAGGTGAAAGCCGTACTGATATCACAATAGAACTTCACTCCGGGGTCGATGCGCCAGTAATAGTCGTAATCGGCCATAAGCGGATGGCGATAAAAGTATCCAGAGTAGAAGCGGCACATGTTTCTATATGGAACCGAGTCGCCATAAATGACCTTGGCTTCGACAAGTTTCTGTCGGGCAGCAGCGGCTTTCTCTTCATCAATCCTATTTGGGTGTCAGATGTCGTCGCGATTGATGCGAGGGTGAGCCTACCAACTGGGCTGGTTCCAATCTTCAGCATCCACCTTGCCGTAATGGCATTTGGCTTTGGTCAATGCTTGTGTATACCTCTTGAATTCTTCGGTAAAGTCCTGTGAGCATGAAAGTCAGCAGACTCCATCCATACTCCCATGATTACGCACGTCGTCGTTAAGGAAGACATAGTCGTAGCGAGCCCAGTGGTTGAAACGGTCCTCCATCTGCCTCATAGAGTCCAGGATTTGCCACAAATCCGAGTTCCTCGCTAATCTCTGTCAGCACTTTCACCCGGAAAGTCTCTACGCAGCAGCAGCAGCTTACCAAGAATCACAAAGGCAGCCTTCGCCCTCCGCCTCTCCTCCAAGCTCTTTTCAAACTCATGCAAGATGTCCTGGTCCAGCACGGGCCGGGCCGAATCTGGCGGAGAAGTGGGACGCCATGGGTCTGTTTTGGGTAGAAGGCCGAAGGAGAGAATATCGGTGGATTGGCGATATGTGGGATGTATGGAGAGGAGCAGATGGAGAAGTAGCTGGCAATGGAGTGAGATTTGTCGGAAGATGAGCAAGTGGACTCACGATGACCGAGGCAGCGATGCCTAGATACTTCCAGCGGGTCAAGGATATCATTGCGTCGTTACTGGAAAGGCGAATACAAGTGCAAAGTGAAAGAAGATGGGCGAAAAAGGAGGCAAAAGGAGGGAGGCGGAGGACGTGAGCGCAAGCATCAGCAGGAGAGATGCAGCGTACGGGTCATGTATCGCGTCTTCAAGGCATCAGTCTGGAATTATTTCCGCCGTACATACACTCCATCATCTGTATGGACTGCGTCAAGCCTGTGCATCATTCTCAAAACACTGCTGACCGAAACGCCGCGACGCCAAGGTGGAGGCAAGTTCGCGTCCGTCCGGGGCCCTCTCTTGCATTGTACAGTGTTCATCACAGTCATCTACTAACACCCCTCCCCATCCTACTTTCGCGACGTCGACAGATCCCTTCGCTCCCACACTTGTATCACCGTTTCCCCAAGGAACACCATCTCCTTCCTGACCTCTGTCACATTCAGGTCCTGCATCTCGAACCACTTTTCTCCTCTTCCTTCCGTCTCTGCACTCTTTTCGGCTCCATTCTTGCCTTCTTCTCCTTCCGTCTGACCCGCCCGGACATGAATTTTCCAGAACATCTGGTTCTCCTCGCCTTGCTGCGGCGTTCGCTTGGTGATACCCGGGCCAGTACCAGAGGTCGAGGTAGAGGCGGCAGTGGTGTCGAGAAAGACGTTGGAGAGGAGGTCATATTGGGTGTGCACGTTGTCGGAAGGTTTGGGGTCGACATCTGCCAACCGTTCAGCTGCGTTCGATGTCAATAGGGAAAGACACTTACACTCGCTCATGTCGACGCCTCGAAGAGGGAAGTTGACGATGGTAGGGTTACGTTCTTCAACAAAGTTGTTCTTGGTGAACCGCTTCATGTGGAGGATGAGGTAAGGAGGAAGCGACGTGAGGTGATGTCTCTTGAGCGTGGGCCCGAATTCCTGAAATCCTGTCAGCAACATATGTCGGTAGGAGCCTGACGTGACGCACTTGTGTATGCTTGCCGTCGAATTTGGCGAGGATCTGACCCAGAGAGACCTGGGGAATGATTTTCTTCTCGTTGATATCTGTGAATAGAGGTGTGGCGGGAAGATCGAGGGCAAGGAAAAGGAAGGGTGAAGATATTTTCTGAATGTCTGTATATCCGTTAGACCTGGCATTTCCCGAAATGGAATGACTCACCTCGTCCAACGTCGAAAACGGGCCGGGCATACTCTTTATGAGTGATAACTTGCTGCGTCTCAATCTGCACCTTTCCCTGAAAAGTCGAGTAGACGATACTAGAGTTTCTCTTCTTTGTTCCGCCCAGATCTCTATGCAGGGTATTGACCAGCCACCCCAGGAACTCAACAGGGTCCCCCTGCTCGGTCGTCTTGAATTTCCCATTACTCCTCTTTGTCACCTCGTGCAAAAACTCGTGGGGCGACACCTGCGCTTTGAACAAGTGCGGATTCCATAATCTCTGCGCCAGTGTCGCGAACCGCTTCACAAGCTCGGTGGGACGGGCCTCGATCTGGAGTTGGGGCGTATTGGGATGGAGCAGAAAGTTGCGCAGGGGAGGGACATGGAGGAGGAGGTGAATGACGACGTTGCAGTAATCGTTGCCTTTGATGTTGTTGATGCCGATATAGCCTGGAGTGTACTTTTGACCTTCCAGGGTATAGGAGAGTGGAGGGAGGCGAGAGAGTCTGGCAATGTCTTTGGGAGCATATCGAGGGTGGAGGACGCGGATAATGTCGTTGAGAGAGTGGTCTGCGACCGGGTAGCCTTCCGGGAGGACATAGAACTGCAACTTGTCAGCACAGCCAAACAGGCGGAAGGTGATCTCACCTTTTCAGTATCCAGATTGAGCCACACTCTGTGGTTGTCGCCGACGGCGTGTCGGTACGCCCAACTGCCCTTTCCTCGCCCTTGAAAGTACTTGCCACAAACGAGACAGGCGTAGACATTGATATTGCTCAGGCTTTTAGAACACAGATGCTCAAAGTCAAAGTCAAGCTTCTGTCTGGAGATCTGCGAGCATGTCAGTGGATATCAAAGGAGCATAGACTCAGCACTTACAGTATCGAGGTACATATCTGTCCTGGACAAGTCTTCTTCCTCCTTGGCATCTTCTTGCTCTTCCTCTTCGTCGCTTGATTCCGCTTCCGCAGGAGGAGGAGGCGCAGAGGTGAATTCTGGTGCCGAGGTTACTGCAGGCATCCCGTTGCTCTCGGCCGTAGATGGCTCTGCGGCAGCGGCAGCATCAAGCTTGATGCGCTTTGCAGCTGGCGGCGAGGATTTTGGCGAACCGGCTGTAGACATTGCCTCTACGTTATCTGGTCTATCGTCAGCGATGATCTTGCGCGAAAGCAAAGCTAGTCACAGGATATGGGCTGGGTGGCTGTTGCTGTGATCGGGCGGCAGGGGAAAGTGGAGGAGAAAGGAGGAGGGTGGGGACGCTGAGTTGCGGTATGGATCTCTGAGGCGTGTTGAAGGATTCTCGCGGGTACGGCTGACGAGAGATTGGTGGTAGATGCAGCTGTTGGTTGATTCCGTTTGCAAAGTTCATCCATCCCCCGACGGACGATGTGCACAGAGCAATCTCGACGGAAGCAAATACTAGCTGTCCGGACAGTCGTGTGTCGGGGGCGGACATAAATCAGAAGCCGAACGCGCCCTTATGCTCTGACTTTTGGATGATCACCTTTATACGACTGTACGATACAGGTGCTGGCTCACCATGCCCATAACGAGTCCACCAGAAACACCAAAGCACTCCAGAACGCCTTCAAGACCGGTCCCACTACGCAGCTCTCCCTCAGCATCTACCACGACAAGCTACGATACTCGCCATGACCTGCGCTCGCAGCTTTCCGGCACTTCCCTGACAAACCTCGACCAGCGCTCGGAATCGCCATTCGACGCGCTACTGAGCATGGAGGCAGAGTTCATGGATAGTCCTACCGAGGTCACACCGAATGATACACCTCCTGGCCCGAGTCGGCAACCGTCAGAATACTTGCCAAGCGCTCGTCCGCAAGCAGATGTGCCTCCGAATAGAGGACGAACCCAGGCCCTTCAAGATGATTCTTTAGCAAGAGAGAGCTCTCAAAGTCGCTCAAAGACTGGCCCCGAGCCCCGGTCCAAGACACCCACCTTCTTCTTGACCCGGGCTACGCCATCTGTGACCTCTCCAAACCAGAAACCCAAGCCCAAGGTATCTCGCCTCAATACCAATCTCGCTCACAGCTCTTCGCGGTCATCACCCACAAAGATGGTGGTCAGTCCGGGCATCAAGCACTGGCAACAGGTCAGAGCTCATGTGATGGCGCCAACTCCGGTTGAAGAGCGCGGGTCGAGGTCTAGCAAGAAATCAGGTCTGGTGTCCAAAGCTGCTGGCAGATTCGGGTTCCGCCATGCAGCGGATAATGTCATTGGATACAATGACCGCCGTCGGTCCATGATGGGCTTGCTGGCGGATCTCAATGAGCTCACGGAAGAGCAAAAGGAAGAGATCGTCCGCGAACGGAGAAAGTTTGCCAGAGATATCAAGACGTGCATCGACGCCTGTGCTTTGGAGGAGAGCCGGCGGAGACTTTATCGACTGGGGTATGGGCGAGACCCATTCAGCGACGCCAAATCCAGCGGCACGTCGATTCATACCAGCGCCGTTCACGCGCACCCGCACGCAGCCCAGCGATTCACCTTTGACCCTTCATTCTCCGCCTTTGCTCCTCTCCTCACTGAATTCCACAAATACCTTCCTGCGGCTCGTGCAAAGAAACCTTGGTCTCGCACTTGTCCCCATCACGCGGAGATCCTCGCCGAGCTGGGCGTGGCTTTCCTCCAAGACTCGTTATCTACGGAGGGCGAGAAGCAACAGGCTTTGGAGCTGTTCGGGACCATTGTCAAGACTTGGGCTGCAGACTCGGCGGAGGAGGTGCTTGTGAGATGGCAGTGGCTTTGCCGCGCTCTTTGCACCGACGACAGACATATTCGGAATCGAGGTCTTGACCTGCTAGACAACATTCTCCACCTCGACCCCTCCCTTCCGCGAGGGCACGAACAGCCACATACAGCGCTTTCCTTCCATGCCCTCTCATCCGACCTCATCATTCTCTTACACGCTGTTGAATCATCGCAGTACCCTCAGCAGTCCCATGCGCAAGCTGTAAGAGGGTGGATAGACGAGCTCAGAGAGGGGAAACTTATGAAAGTGGAGGAGGCGTCGTTGGTCGAGCTGGTGGGACATGTGGATCTGGGGATGGTCACGATGGGTGGAGTGGAGAAGGAACTCATGTGGATGGCAGTTGGCTCGGTGCTTCAGACCCATCCTTATCTTGCAGAGTGGCTTTTATCAGGGGACAACTCGGCGATCCTTGTGAGTATGAGTTGTTGACACACAACGAGTGTTGACAAGGTGTAGCAATTCGTCCTTCCACCGTTACTCCATGCCACGCCCTCCTATATCCCGCCGATTCGAAGTCATACTACTACTCTCCTGCTTACATCGTTTATATCCCTCATTCGATCTTCATCGGACCATGCCCTGCCATCAGTCATCTGGAATACCGTGACTAGCCATATCTTGCCGCAGCTTGAAGAGCTCCCCGGGGACGATCCGGCTAAAGCCTTGGGAGTCTTGGTATTCGAGACAGAGGCGCATGCTTGGAGGGCAGACATGGGCGACGCAGATGATCCTTTTGGGATACAAATGCAGGGCGGTGACGGAGTAGTGGCGCATAAGAGGTTGATAGAGACACATGTGGTGGTGGGAGGAAAGTGGAAGGTGCCGTTTATGAATGCTGCCAAACAGGTAGTACGTCGAGTCCTTCAACAAGCTCGGGCCAAGCTGACACCAGCATAGCTGAAAGACACGCCGATAGAAGTGGCCTTTGCTATGGCGCATGGGTTTCTGCGTGATGAAGGCTTGGTACCGCTTGCTAGAGAATGTGTGCCAGTGCTGTTGGACGTGAGTTTACATGATACTGTTGTGAAAGCCATCTAACCGGTGGCGATTCAGCGCCTCGCGTCCGATGTCGAACCTCCGCCAGTTGCTCGCAATTTCCTCGCCTCCATACAAACCCATCATCCTCAAGTAATATACAAACCCCTCTTCACGCTATCCGCCTCGACCTCTCTGGCATCCCTGACTCCTGCCCTCCGCACCCTTCATCTCATCTCGCCAACAGTCTTGCCATACCAGCAATACTGGTTGACAGATCCGCAGATGGTGACGATTGTGCTCATGGGTGACTCGGCGCCGAGGGTGAGCAAAGGAAAAGGGAAGGAAGGTGCGGACAAGGGTAGGAGGGAGGTAAGGCTGGGCAGGTGGGCATTGGCGGTCGAGTTGAATGTGGTATTACTGCATCATCAAGAGAAGAGCAACCTGGACAAGAGATGGAAGGTGTTTGGTGAGGGGCTGGAAGGGAGATTGACATCATTCTTGGAGGCAGAGGTAAGTTATGTGTCTGTCCTAAGGGCTTTGAGGCTGATGATTACTCAGGAGAAAGATGGTGACTTGCCAGATGGCTATCGAAAGCTGATGTGTCAGCTCTTGTTGAGCCTCCGGCTCAAGACACAGTCCGTCAGAAAGTAAGCCGCAGTTGTCTCCTTCAGGCAGTGCTGATCATTGGGCAGAGCTCCATGGCTTGACATGATCTTGCGATGGTTTGTACAGGTGTCCAAGGAGTACACTCCCAAGGATGAGGATGATTCAATAGTCACCCTGCGTGGGGCGTATAATACCCTCCTCGGTCAAGATGCGGATTCGGGTACTTCTCCATCCTCATCCACCTCTCCCTCATCTACTTCTTTGGAAGAGCGACTGGCCATTTTGGACCGACCATTGAAGCAAGTCGTAGCGTCGCTACTTGTTGTAGTGCACAGCAGTCTTAGCTTGGACAATTGGGCAAGTCTCGTCCCATATCTGTGGGGATGGCTGGGCAAGAAAAGAATTGCGATGAGGCAAGTGGGCTTCTTGCTACAGAAATGCGCAGAGATTGTGCCGGGGCAGTTGAGAGATGCCATCTTATCGGACCTCAGCAGGTGAGTACAAGCATCGAGGTCATCTGTACAAGACTGACTTTCGATATAGTAAGGAACCACTCGCCCGCCGCCAAGCCCTTCACAGCCTATCAACCCTATTTGCCTGGCGTTTCCAAATCACGGCTCAGCCAATCATGACTTCCCGCCGAGGTCCTCTGTTCCACTTTCCCACCAAAACCCTCGAGTTTGTTCCTACAGAGATCGGATCATCTACTTGGGAATCACCGCACGATATCCTGGATGCTCAGCTTTCCAAATTTGGACGGACTCTGCCTTTGGAAATCCGACAGAGATTGTTTGAGCTTGGGTGGAGCGATGAAGAGGGTTTGCAAGGGAAGGCAGATTGGGAGCAGATTCCTGTCAGCGCGCTGCCCGGGTTAGAGTGGCAGCAAGAAAGCGCTACGGGTGCGCTATCAGGGCGGCCCTCGAGTCCGATGAGATCTTTGGCTAGAAGCGGATCAAACACGTCTGGCCATTCCTTCTCTTCAAAACGCCGAAAAGCCGTGTTTGCGCCCATGCTCGTGCAGATGGTCTACGAGCAGATCAATGTCCTTTCAAGCGAAGCGGATGGGCCTGTCAGCAATCTTTCGCTCGAGCTTGTGCGACTATTTCAAAGGGATGATGCCGCTGCCTTATTGAAGCCGTTCACCGAGAGACTCCACTCTGAAACCCTAGACGCCATCGAGTTGATCAACAAGATCAGTGACTTCATGGCACCAGGGTTTGCTTACTCTGCTCTCAACGCTCTTATCGGCTATACCAAGACAGCATTGAAGGCGCAGGGGCAATTGGAATGTTGGGAGGCGTCTCTCACCACGGTAGCTCGCATTGTGCCTTTTGTGAGTGCTATCTCGCTAAGAGACGTTCGCAAAAACAAGGCAGAGCATGTCTTGCTGCCTGCTTCAATTCACGAAGAAGAAGGAGGCTTCAAAATTCATGCGCCCTGGCGTAACGGTCAGCTTGGGGTTCAGACAGCCCAACTCCTGATTCTGAACGAAACCCTCAAAGCAAATCCCCGCGAAGTGTACCTTGTAAAGAAAATGCTTTACTATCTGCAAATACAGGAGTCTATCCAATACCTGCCCTTCGCTCGGGCGTGGATCATCCTGACCAACACCGCATTCTCTTTCGTCAATCGAAACTACAACGATAGAGCGGAACTCCGTCACTTCTTGTCAAACGTGGGGGCCATCTTGAAGATGCACGGGAAGACCGACCTCTTGATCACTTCCCATTCAATGAGAGTTCTTATGCTTTGCTCTGCCCGCTTCCGCCGCGTCTTTACCTCCATGGGCTTCTCAACCATCATGAGACCTGTGTATGAAACGTATGCCGGTGGTGATGCGGCCACACGAGACGCCATCGAGTACGCCGCGAGAAGCTTCTATAGGATACACGAAGATGTCTTCGTCTACCAGGCGTGCGTAGCCATAGCGGAAGGAGATTACGACCCTGCCGCAGTGTATCAGCTTCTCGCCAGTCTCTCGGCTGGAAATTTACCGTCATCT